ATGCTGCCCACTTTGCTCCCAGTCATTGTCTACATCAGGCTCTATCTTCTTCCTTGTTCTATGGTGCCTACAGCTGCAGGCCCAGCCTGAGCCTCACCTATCTTACACATTAGCCAGCTTTTTCAGAAAACAGAGGCACACTTTTCATCTATTTAGAGGTGAGAATGGCTTTTCCTAGAGTTTGATGCGTCTGCCTCCATTTCCACATCTTCCATTCCTGGTGAGCTTTGGAGACGGGAGATCAGCTGTAAGGAAATGAGATGAGGATTCTGAGTGGCCAGTCTCCACCTTGCCTGCGCCTCAAGATCACCCAGGAAGATTTTCAAAGTTCCTGTGGCCAGACGCTGTCCCAACCAGTTAAATAAGAGCCTCTGGGGGTACGGCCCAGATCTCAGTATTTTTTTTTTTCTCGAAATTTTTTTCCCTAGATCATTCAATATTGCAGCCAAGGTTGAGAGCCATTGTTCCAGGAATAGCTACCTCCCCCTCTCCATAAAAGCTGATGAGGACAAATGTTTCTAATGGTGAAACTGAGCTAGGAATTCTAGTCCTTCTTTTAAAACTGGCTCTTTTGTTTTCTTATTCTCCCATCTATCGATTGTTACTGAGTACCTGCTATGTGCCAGGCCTCTTCCTTCAAGACGCTAGAAGCTAAAAACTAGCCCACAGGATTCTGTGCACTACAAAGGAGATCCCAGTACCTTGTGCTGAGGGATGTGAATGAGCCAGGGAGCTATGGGAGTGGCAGAGGATAAGGGCTCTGACGGAGGAGGAGTACCTGGCAGCTTCCCAGAAGAAGTGGTGTCTGAATGGAGACTTGAAGGACCAGTAGGATTTGGGCAAGTGAAGAGGTATTTGTAGCTAAGAAAGCTGAACAAGAGGATGAAAGTAGAAATTCAGTCACTGTAGGTGCTTCCTGTGGCTAAGCTTGCAACGGGAGTGGGAAGTGGCAAGAGATGAAGAGCATGAACTCCAAATAGATCCCACTGGACCACACTGGAAACTTGAGGTTTGCTGCCCTTCTGGGGGGAAAAAAAAGATGGAGCCTGCATCTATTGAGGATAAGGACAGAGGAGGAATTTATGTTCTTAACTACTATGGCCCCGACCATGTCTTTAGGTGTCTTCCATAGACCCACTGGGCAATGCCTTATGACCCTTGGGAATAAATGGCCCCTATCAGGAGCCTCCCCTGTGCTTGTCCTCATTCCTGGGGAAGGAGCACAGGTGTGAGATGAGACAGCACCCACTTCTAGCCATTATCAGTATTAACCATCTCTGCACCCTCAGAACAGGCAAGTCACACACAGAGGCCCTCATCTGTCAATGGTCCCTGTGTTAGTGGGTCTCCATGAGGCTAGAACTGGAAAACTCCAAGGAAAGTACTTAGTGCTGTTCTTAGCACATGATCAGCACCATGACTGGTACTTAGTACATGGTGGGCTCATGCACTTAGGGCACCTGGTTTTCCCCACCTCCAGGATTTCTGCACCTACTCTAACCCCAAGCACCAGAAACCCAAGTAAATCAGGATCTTCTCCTCTCCCCTATCTGCTGCTGAGCTCTTAGTCCCTCCCAGCCCTGGCTCTCTCCATTATAGCTTGTGGCTCCTCTTGAGCCCGTACTGCTCCCAGACACAGCTAGTGCTCTCCCCCTGTCCTCCATCTTTCCCTTTGTAGGAACCAAGGAAGTCTAAATTGCTGACCATCAATACTGGACTTCCACTGCTGTATGGAATCTTATTTCAATCCCCTTCTATTCACCTTTTTGTTTTTCTTTCTTTTAGTGCTGGGGATTAAACCCAGGGGAGTTCTATTACTAAGCACATCCATAGCCCTTTTCTAATTTTTATTTTGAGGCAGGTTCTCACTAAGTTTCCTAGACTAGCCTCAAACTTGTGATCCTCCTGCCTCAGCCTCCTGAGTAGCTGGGGTAATGTACACCATGTACACCATGCCCATCTTTTCTTTTTTTCTTTTTTGGTTACCCCTACCTTTTAATATTTTATTTAGAGACAGGGTCTAGCTGAGCTGCTTAGGGCCTCACTAAATTGTGGAGACTGGCTTTGAACTTATGATCCTTCTGCCTCAGCCTCCAAAGTCACTGGAATTAACAGGCATGTGCCACCATGCCTGGCCTTGTCCACTTTTAATAACCCCTGTCACATACAAAGCTGGTGCAATTACAAAGCTCTTTCATTGTGCTCTGGCTCCTATCTACATCACTCAAAAGTCCAAGTCCTGAAAATGACTGGCAAGGCCCCACATGAGCTGGCCCTGCAGACCCCTACTTCCCACTGACCTCACGGCCTACCACTCTCTCATCTCCCTACTGCCAGGCACACTCCCGCCCCAGCCTTTGCACCTGCTGGCCCCTCAGTTCGGGATGCTCTTCCCCTATAGCCACAGACTTTCCCTGTTCTTTCCAGACTTCTGCTTTTCTACCTTACCTGAAATGGAAAACCCCTGTCCCCCTTGCCCTCACTTATTTTCTTCATAGCACTTATCAACAGCTGTCTTGAATAGTTAGCTGTCTATTTGTTTATTGCTTTTTTCTCTACCCTGCATCAGAATATAATTTCCATGAGGTCAGTGTAGAGTTTCTGCAGTGTCGTATCCTGAGCAGCAGAAACAGTGTCTGGCATGTAGCAGGTGCTGGATAAATATTTGTTGAATGAACGAATGCCTAAACAAACCTATTACCTCATTTGGTCCTTGCTACAGCCCATTTGACAGACGAAAGATGCTACGGCCCAAGTTCTTGTCTGCAGTTGCTCAGAGAGTGGAGGCCGAGCCGGCTGCAGCTCACCTTCCCTCCACAGATGGCACATTCCTTGGCTGGTGAAGGATTTCAGACCATCAGGATTTCCCCCGACCTTTAGCCTGAGAGGAAATGATATCGCAACTGGAAGAATCCCCCGAGGGCCGGGAGCTGGCAGCGGAGGCCCCCGCAGCTGCAGGGAGTGTGTGAGTGGATTCCCAGTTGGCCAGAAAGGCAGCAGAAGGAGCAGGATGCAGTGTGGAGCCTCCTGTCCCCGCCTGGCGTTACCGGGACCTTTCTCTACAGGAGGCCCCGCAGCTGCAGCCCTGCTAGGTCGGAGTCCTGGGAGGGAGGGAAAGGGCTTCCTGGTCAGGCATCCAGCAGGAATTGTGTGGGGGTCACCCGGTGGGCTCCGGTGGCCCAGGGATTAGATTTTATGCTGAGAAGCACTGAACACCCATGGGCTGTGGCACAGGGAAGATCAAGGGGTTTCTGGCCAGGACACTGCGTCCTGACCCCTCAGCTCCCCTTATTGGGTGGGTGACTCTGGGCTAATCATCTTAGGGTATCTTTTCCTCTGTAAAATGGGGGTTCCACTCCCACCTACCACAGAGTGTTCTAATGGGGATCAAAGGAGAAAGAAAACAGGGGAAATGCTTTATAGACTCTAAGTTTCTAAACAAATGAAATATGTGTGTAATATATATATATATTATAATAATATATACATTATGCATAATATATATATATAAAAAAATATTTGTTGAATGAACGAATATATATATATGCTTGTAAATAGATTATCCTTTGAGAGCCTCCATGTGGCTTTCATCTGTGCAATTGTCTCTTCTGGGCACAAGTCTGCTCCCTGGTGCCCTGCCCACCAGTCATTGGTGGTCCCTCTCACCCTTATATCCACTCTTCCAGCCCCTGCTATTGGCTCTGCCCCCAGCTAGGTTCCTGATCAGCAGGTGCCAGCACCTCTACTGCAGTGTGCTGTCCTCCCACCTACCAGGGCAAATCTCCTAAGTGATACCTGCCTTCCACTTCTGCCTGCCCCAGAGCAATCTTAGAAAAACATACACCCTCCTCCCTCTGCTGTTTTAATACTTCCACAGGGTTGTGACAAAGGTCACAGCATGACTGGCAGGGCCCTGTGGATCCTGCCTCCCTCTCAGGCCTTCCCCCCCTCCACATGGCCAGCTCACTCCGGATCCAGGTTCTTTCTCTATCCTTCCTTCTCCTGAGGATGCTCTGGCCCAGATCTCCATGTGGCCGGATCCTGCTGGTCTCCGATTTCAATCCCAGTGTCACCTCTCCAGAAGGCCTTTTCTAACCACCTTACACATGACTCCTGCAGTCGCCCTGGGCACACACTGCACTGGATCTTCAGAGCACTTTCTGAACCTGCAGTTATTTTCTTCATCTGTTTTCTCACCTGCTTATTGTCCAGCTTCCTCTTTAGAATGTACACACCTCGAGGACAGGAACCCCATCGTCTTGTTCACAGCTGGACCCACAGTGCCTGGAACTGCACCTGACACTCACAGTAGGACTAGGAAGCACTTGGTGATTGACATTGTCCTGGTGGAGAGGAATGTAAACCAGGTGTATGGATGGTGGCCACTGGCAAACGTACACCAGCCTCACTGTCCTTGGTGGATGCAGAACCCACAGGATCTAATTATATAGTGAACAGCAGTTTCTTCAAGGTTACTCTCCCCCAAGGGAAACCAGAATTCCTAGAGAACACCCAGAGCACCAGCCACCGCATTCCTTCTGGGTGGACCCCAGACAAGACAGCTTCCTCTCGCTTCTGGGCTTTCTTTCCTTTTTATTTGTTCTAATTAGTTACATATGAAAGTAGAACGCATTTTGACAGATGATACATAAATGCAGAATAACATCTCTTTCTTCTGGTTGTACATGCTTTGAGCCTTTCTTATGGAGGTAGGAGTCAGAAAGTGGACTTTTGGCTTGCCTCTTTGTAAATTTGATTCTGAGTGCTCTTGAGTTGATCAAGATTAATTGATTAATTTGTGAATGATATACATGTTTATAAAAAAAAGTAGGTTCTCTTTTTTTTGCTATAGTATCTAGAAGAGTGCCCATCACATGGTAGGTGCTCAATAAATCTTGATGGAACAAATCACTGCTGATGACCAGGTATGGTTCTTCCTTCCTGAAGCTGGTGCAGAGAAGGCTGATGTGTCTTCCTCTTTCTTTTCTCTGTTCTTATAGGTGGCCTTGAAGAGCAGCCATCTGAGAGCTGGCCAAATGCTACCGCCTTGAATACCAGCAGCCAGGAAGCTAGAAAGGGTAATGTATGTGAGGCCCCACCAGGTCTTTGGGTACCTTTTATATTTTTTAATGGCAAAAACCAGATAACTGCAAATTCACCATATTGACCATTTTAAAGTGTAACTTTTAGTGGCATTGAGTACATTTACAATGTGGCGTGACTATCCCCACAATTTATCTAGTTCCAGAACTTTTTAATCACTCCCAAAGAAGAACTCATACCTGTTAATCAGTTCCACACTTCCCCAGTCCCTGGCTTGAGAGATGACGAGACATGGGGAATCAGGCATCTCAGGGAATGAGAGGTCCGGGAGGCCAGGAAGAGGGACAGCTGGGGTGGGGATGGAGGGGTGGCTTAGACCAGAACCCCTAGAGAGGGGACGGGTGAGGTTGCAGGCTGTTTGTGGACAGGGACCACCTGTCAGCCTGGAAGTACTCCCATGGCCTGTCTGCACACAAGGCTCAGACATGAGTGTGGCCTACCAGTCCTGAGAGCTTCTAGCTTGGAGATCACTGGAGGCACCTCAATTTTGGAGAAGCCTTTCCCATTCAGAGTGAGGGTGGAGGAGAGAGCCTGCATGACTCTCCTCTGGCTGTGGCCTTCAGGATTCGGCTTATGGTCAGTAATGGCATTTCTTCTACATCAAGCTAACTGCAGAGCAAAGCAATAAATTTTTTTTGGTATTGGAGAGTGATTCCAGGGATGCTCAACCACTGAGCCACATCCCCAGCCCCTTTTTGCATTTTATTTAGAGGCAGGTATCACTGAGTTACTTAGACCTCAATAAATTGCTGAGGCTGGATTTGAACTCCTGATCCTCCTGCCTCAGCCTCCGGAGGTGCTGGGATTATAGGCGTGTACCACCATACCTGGCGGGAATAATTTTTAAATACCAGAATCCTTTGTTTCAAGGATGTAGCGATGAAATAGAAATAATTATTTGCTTTACTTTATGTTTTTGCTTTAATGATAACTTTCGTACATATTCACGTGTATATATAATTTCACACACATTCACAAATGCATAAATGTGATGATGTCATCATATACTATTTCTTAGTGTTTCTTTTTGTTCTTTTCCCTTTAATTTAGTACCCCCTTCATCTTCTTTTTCCCCTACCACCCTCTACTCTCTCTTGGATAATGCCTGCTAATGACTTTGTGTGTACCATGCACCTATGTTGACATATATACTTATATAGAAATGCACATATGTAAGCAGACATAAGCATATATACAGGTATAGGCTTTGTCATTGTTTAAAATTTGATACATATTCTTAAATGCATCATGCTTTTCTCGTCAATACTTCATGGGAAACCCCTCCAAGGTACTTGTTTTAACTTAAATTTATGCTTTTGAATAGTTGCAAAATATTCCTGGTACGGATGGATCATAATGTGTTCAATCGTTCCCTTCTTAATTAGCATTCTTTTCACTTTTGGTTCTTGACTCCAAGAACAATGCCTGACATTCCCGCACAGATAGCCTTTAACACTTCATATGTTTTTAAGAAATGTTGCTAGATTGCAAGTCTACAGTTGTGACAATTCACATTTCCATAGCAACTTATAAGTGTGCCCCTTTCCCCAGATCCTCACTAGTACAAGGTGTTGTCAGTGTTTTTAACCAGTGAACAACAGCTTATTGTTACTTAATTTATATTTCTCTGACTGGTGGTGGTTTTGAGCATCTTTTTCTGGGTTTGCCAGTAATTTGGATATGCATTTCTGGGATTTGCGTATTTCATTTTCTCTTTCTTCTCCGTATGGTTGACTATTGGGCAAAACTACCTTTAAACTTGATGACTTCAAAAGGTGATTTGTTTTCTTTCATCACTTTGTGGACTGACTGGGCTCAGTGGGGCAGCTCTTGGACTGACGTTGCCTGGGGTCACTAACTTGAAGGCATCCATCTGGCAGCTGAATGGGGCTGGAAGGTCCAGGAAAGCTTTAGTCACCCCTGGTCCCCCAGTGTACCTCCACATGGACCCTCTCCCCATTCAGTTGTCTAGACTGACAAGTTCTACAACATGGCAACTGGCTTCCCCAAGGGAGGAAGCAGAAGATGCAGACCATCCAAGGCCTGGAATTCAGAACTCCAAACATGCTGCTTCTGCCACATTCAAAATGGATTCCACAGCATGCGAGAATCAGCGTGAGCTCACGGAATGAGGGGACTTGTGGGGGGCCATACCTGGAAACTATCACTGCATCTTCTCTGCTCACCAGCAATAGAAATTATTAGAGTTTTTTATGCTTACCGTTTTTGCAGGTATAAAATGACCCAACCAAATAAACTGGGATAGTCAGACACGCTTGGGTTTGAATCCCAGCTCACCCATTTAGTAGCCATGGCTTTGATGAAGTTATTTCATCTCCTTATGAGACTCGGGGAGAATTAGAAATTATATTTATGTAAAGTGCATAGCTGGGTGTCTGGAACTTAAAAGGTGCCCATGAATATAGCTCTTCCACTTTTTCCTCCCCACCTCCACTTCCAAGAATTATATTATCCAACATTGAGAGTGCATCATTTACCTCTGGACTGGGATTCCACAGCTGTTCCACAGCTGCACAGAAACACAATTACAGAGGACAGGAAGGAACAAGTCTGCTGCAACCCATTGAAATTCTGTCTCTAGTTGGGCTGCACATGGGACCCACACTGCAATAAAAGGTCTTGGGCTTTCTAAGGAGGGTGAGGACCACACTGCCCTCTCTACACATATACCTCTGAAACTGGCTGTGTCCATAATCTGCAGCCTCTCAGATGATCTTGGTTTGTTCACAGAGGTTAGTGATGTCAAGGATAGGCCAGTCTCTACTTGGCATTGCAGGGGCAGACAAGCGGGTCTCTAGGCATCCAGGGCAATCCAGAGGAGGAAGGAGGCACCAAAGGTGAGGTGAGGATGGGCTGATCCTTCCCATCCCGACCCTTCAGGACAATGTTGGGCACCAGCCTGGTGTGCCTCTTGTTTTTGCTTGAATGATAGATAAGTGTGCCAATCTCAGATTCCTCTTTAATTGCAACCTACCCCCCTTCCGCTCCCCGAGAACAAGAGACCGCCCAAGCAGGAGAAAGGCTCTGGGGGAAGCGTCCGGGCCGCTGGTTTCAGCCACAGGTTTATTTCCTGGCATTATGTGGCTCCCTTCAGCCCTGACGGTGGGGATTTGTGCCTGCAGCATTGTGTGTGTATGTGTGTGTGTGTGTGTGTCTGTGTGTGTGTGTGAGAGAGAGAGAGAGAATTGCTGAACAGCTCTCTCAGCACCCCCTGGCAGAGGCTTTGGTCAGAGAAGCCCCTTCCCTTAGAGATGGGAGCTTAGCTTTCGGTGGCCGAGAATGAGATGGATGAAATGGAGTCTGTCACTGCTCCACAGTGGAACTGTGGCTGGACAGAACTGTATTTCTAGAATCATATTCATAAAAGAGAATGGAACTTTCCCTTCAGTTGTAGGCCCTCAGGCCTTTGTGCTGCAGTAAAGAATAATGGAATCTGGTTGCACCGAGGAACAAGGGGCCCACAAACTTGGGTGCAAAATGCCCCTGGCATGTCACCTGTGGCTGTGCATTTGGGTGTAATCACCAAGCCTGACTAGCTTCAGGCCCACATTTTAACCTGTCCCCAATCCAGACCGTCATAGTAATCACTGTAGCTCACACCAAGCCCCTCCTCACCGCAGGTGTTCGATGTCCTTTGGCCAGCTCAATGCTCACTGGAAGTCAGGTTCAGAAGGGGAAGTGGTTTATTCAAAGCCACACAGGTAGCAAATGGCAGCACTTTTCTTGAGCTTAAGTTCCCTTGCTCCCAAATACCTTTGTCTTAACCTTTGAGCCCTATCAGTGGTTCCCAGACTTCACTGAGCTTGGTCAACAGTGGGGAGATTTAAAAACTGCAGATGCCTTTACTCTAAGATAGGCCTGTTGAGTCGAAATCCTTGGGCAGAGGACCGCACCAGCATTTTAAAAAGCTTCTATCTGACTCTTAGCTGTGCAGCCAGGTTGAGAACCCTTGTGTAGGATAATCTACTATCTTCCTTTTTACCAAGGGGCTGCTCTTGAGTTTTTCAGGATTGGGACAGGTAAGGTGTGGATTCGTCCATCTGTTATGGGGTGAGGATTTTGCAGATGGCCGGACAGTCAGGTGCATACTTTCAGTGTAGGAGTGACCCTCTGCTTAATCTGAAGATTGCGGTTGCTTGCTTGAGAATGCCGGACCAGGCCTGGTTCTGTTTATGACATGGCTGTGCCTTCAGCCGGAAATGGAACACTGAACAGTTATGCCGTTTTGCTCTGTCAGAGAGGAAAGGGCCCCTCCCAGAGCCAGAGAATTTAAATGGGCTTTATCCCCCTCCCTCCTCCACCCCCAGCGTGTTAAATCCTTTCAGACGCCCCTGAGCTCCTCTTCAAATGCAGGACTCTTGGCCATAATAAATAATTACATCCTTCTATTTGGACTCCAATTCCAGATAGTAGTAATCCAAGAAAATCCAATAATGACAGTTGCATTAAGATCCTCCTTCCAGGCTAAGCAGAACATCTGTTTAGACATATTTTTAATCGGCAAATGCTTCCTGTGTTGAGTCCTCAGCAAATTAAATTTCTCACTGGACCGAAGGGGAAGCTGTCATTCAATAACCCATCTCTGGAAATTACACCCCAGTCTCTTTCCAGGTGCACTTAAGATTTTCCCATGCTGACTCGGCCGCATGAAATCAACCCTTACAATACTGGGTCACATGTTTATGTAGCACAGCTTGTCCGAGCGGCCTGGGATGTCTTGGTGTTATTCCCTCGAATAGAGAAATATTTTTGCCCAAAGAAGAATTGGCAGCAGAGGAAAATTAAGAGACTTGTTGAAAACCATATGGGAAACGAATAACAAACTTCCACTTGCTACATCGCTGCCTGTGATTACTTAAGACATGATGATTCTCAGGATGTAAACATTAAGGGCTTCAGCCTTGCCAACATTTCGGAGAGGTTTCCGCCACAGAATTGTTTGGACTGTTGGGCTGTTTATTTTTAGAATGGCTCATCCATTCTTTCATTCATTCAAAATACAAATATCCTGGATGCTTAGCACCAGCCAGGCACGGTGCGGGGTCTGGAGCATGGAGGGTGAACAAGCCCATCACGGCTCATGCTCTCATGGAACTTCCATTCTACTGGAACAATTCACACTGGAAACCTTGATGCACCAGATTCTAGGGCTGGGATAGCAAATTGGAATATGCATAGGGCCAGGCAGTCGGGGGAAGTGGGCTGAATGGGGCAGCATGAAACGGGGAGAGGGGTTCTGGCAAACAGGAAAACAAGTCCCCGTCCCCTGACTACCGGGAACAGGTGCTCCTTTACTCCAGTGGGTTGTACTATGGTGGAAGATGGACTCACTGTTGCCAGATCTTTCCGTTTTTAAAGTAAAACTAGAAAATCTGGATTGTTATGTGAAATCCCTTGATTTTAAAACTTTGGCTTCCAAAGTGAGATTTTTTGAAAAAAAACATAGTGTGGGCCAGAGTGTCTAGGCCAAACAAAACACATCTGTGGGTTGGGTTGATCCCAAGACTGCAAGTGTATGACTTCTGTTCTAGAAATTCTAGCAGTTAAACAATTAATTTCAGGTTTAAAAATATATTAAATATCAACTTTCTGCACTGGGAAATATGACCAATTAAACTAGGTAACTCTTACACCAGCGTAGAAATGTTGGGGGGAAAACAAACAAACCTTTCTACCACCCCAAATCAGAAATATGAAGTGAAGTTTAAGGGGGAGAAAAAACCCCAGTAAATGGCCATGATGAGAAGATAATAGGAAAGTTAGCCTCATAGAACTGAGCTTCAGATGGTTGTGAAACTATGCAGAGGACACAGAAACTGGACTGGAATATGAGGAGCCAGGGACTGCTGTTTTATTGGCCATGTTATGTCTATAGAGATCCAGAAGATGTGGCTTTTATCCCAGGTGAGGCAGGAAGTAGAGATGGAGATGCATCAAATGCCCTCAGAGGGCTCAGAGGAGTGGAAACAAATATTGTTATCTTTCACAGGCTCTAATTTTGGAGGCAAAAATATCATTTTCAAGAGACTTAATCCCCAAACCTGTTTCACATGCAGGTATGATACTTCCTGTATATGGAAACTCCAAAGTGAGAAATCAATATAAAAACTGATCTGGGATCCATAGAATCCCAAGAGCTCTGAAACAAATGTAAACTAGGGTCACACCCGTGATCCAGGGCACTTGGTATTCTTGGAAGAAAGGAACACCTTTGCTTTAAAATGAACTTTAAAATGTTAGAAACACAAAAAGCTAGTCCATGAAGGAGAATCAGCAGATACAACAAATTGAAGAACTGGTATCTCAAGATATTCAAAGATAAGACAACCTGAAGGAATGGCAATCGATGTAACTAAAATGAATAATGAACCAGAAGAAGATCTAGACACTGTAGTGGAGGGGAAAAACAAGACAGTATGGAAAAGAGAAGACTTATTTGAAAAAGCACCAACATAAGTCTTCAATAAATGATGACTGTATTAATTGAGACTGGAACAAGATTAAAATCCTATGTTGAACACAACTAAAGAAAGAAAAGGGGAGGTAAAAATAGATCTGAGGAAATATACAAAGAGATGTAAATAAAATGTGAAAAACATGTGAAGAGACATGGAGGTTAAAATGGCAACGTCCAATGGGTAATCAGTAAGAATTCTAGAAGGTGAGATGACGCTTGTGCAGAGACTGGGGGAAAGGCCAAATAAAACCTACGATGAATAGAATTTTCCAGAATTGAAGGAAGATGTGAAATTTTTAGAATGGTACTAAATCCCAAATAGAGAAGTAAGATAAATCTACCTATATATAGACAATTATAGTGATGCCAAGGAACACCAAAGACAAAGGGCAAAAGAAGGAAACCAAGAAAAGATGAGACATATGGGAAATGAAATGACCATTAAACTAAAAATACAGTTCCCACTGGCAACAATGAGGGCCACAGGCACTGGAATACACTCTTACCATGAAAGAATATTAAAAGAGACATTTCCAGGTAGGAGAAATGGGATGGAGGAAGTAGCAGTGAGCAAGGAAATGGGTGGATTTGAAGATAGCTATACATCTATATTGCAGACACACAAACCAGGCCTTGATAATAGAGACTGATTTTGGAACTTGAAAGCAAGTAACCAATAACACGAAAAATTGGAGTTTTCTGTGTCTTTAAGACCCTTTTGTTTTTCAAAATGAAACAGGGGCCTCTGGTTTCTTCTGATTCATCTTCTTGTTCACTAATTCTTTATACTTTGTTAAATCAAACATGAAGTTAAAAATCAAAGGCAATGCTATGTAAAACATAAAGGGAACAATAGAAGTAAAAAGGAAGTCTATAAAATGTAGAAATTCAATAGAAATCAGGAAAGAAGAAAAAAGGGGGAAACGGATAAAAGGAAAAAAAAAGAAAGCACAAAATGAAAGGAAGGCAAATATCCAGGCATATAACTTATAAAATACATAATGGAATTCACTTGTTAAAATAATCTCAGGAAATACACTCTGGATATTTACTGTTTAAAAGAGCCCCACCTAAACCTAGCTAAGCTTACATGCAGAAATCCTAAATAAAATATTTGCAAATCAAATCCAGTAATGTATAAAAAGAATTACATACCGTAACCAAGTGGGATTTATTCCAGGAATGCAAGGCTGTTTTAACATTTGAAAATCAATATTTATGTATATAGCCCACTGTATCAACAAGCTAAAAAAGAACAATCTGGTGATCTCAAATCAATTTGATACAGAAAAAAATATTTAACAAAATCTAACACTTATTCAGGATTAAATGTCAGCAAGTTAAGAATAGAAAGGATTTGTCTTAATTTGATATAAACTCTCTACAGAAGGACTTAGAGTTTGTGTCATACTTAATTGTAAAAAACTCAATGCTTTCCTTACTGAGATCCAGAACAAGACAAGGATGCCTGCTCTTGACACCCTTATTCAAGATAGTTCTGGAAGTTCTAGACACTGCAATAAAGCAAGAAAACAAATAAAAGACATACAAATTGCAAAGGAAGAATAAAAATGTTGTCCGTATTTATAAATGATGTTTGTCTATGTAGAAGAACCCAAGGAATCCATAAGAAAACCAAATTAAAAACTCCTAGAACAAGTAAATGAACTTAGCAAGATGGCAGAATACAAGACCACCAAACAACAAATATGCAAAAGCAAAAATTTTAAAACCAATACCCTTACAGTCACTACAAAGAAAATGAGATACTTAGATATACACTTACCAAAATATAGGATTTGTATGATGAAAATTTACAAATGCTGACAAAAGAAATCAAGGAAGATCTAGATAAATGGAGAAGCTTGAGTATTCACAGGAGCTTTATCTGGAATAGCAAGAAACAACCCAGATGTCTTTCAGTAGTTGAATAATTAAGCAAAACTGTGGTCCATGCATTCTAAGCACAGCTACTCAGAAACAAAAGAAACTTCATAAACACATCCTGGATGACTTTCCAAGGAATTATGCTGAGTGGTAAAAGCCAATCCCCAAAGGTTATATACCACATGATTCCATGTATACGTCTTTGAATGAGAGAAGTTTAGAAATGGGGCAGACAATGGGTAGGTGGAAGGAGGGAGGGAGGTAGATGTGATTATAAAATAGCAACATTAAGAATCTTTGGTGATGGAACTGTTCCTGTTCTGTGTCGTGAATATAGTAGTAGACACACACAAAGTCCATGTATGATAACATTGTGTAGAACTATGCGTGCGCGCGAACACACACACACACATACACACACAAGTAACAATGATGAAATCAGTGGGTTGTGTCAATATGCATATCCTAGTTGATATTGGACCATAGTTTTATAAATGTTACCATTAGGAGAAACTGAGCAAAGCGTACACAAAATCTCTCTCTTTTATGTCTTATATCTGTGTGTGAATCTACAGTCTATCTCTATAAAAATTTCATTTTACAAGAAACTATTCTATCATTGCAAAGTTCTATTGTTCGTTGTGGAAAGTTGTCTGACTAGAAAAGACATAATTACACAAAAAGATTGAAAATAAATGGATGGGAAAATGACATCTGAGGTAAACAGTAGTGGGAAAAACCTAATATGGTAAAAAATAATCTTTCATATAGGTGAACATTATTATTATCATTATAAAGAGGGCCAGTAATGATAAAACAAATAGTTTATCTATTTGTTTTATTTAAAACAAATCCTAAACTTGTATCACTTAACCAACATAGTTTTAAGCAATCTAGAGCAAAAATGAAGAACAAAGGAGAAAACAACAGTTCACCTTAGGTAGGTCTGGAGGTTATCTAAAGCATTTTTCTCAGTAGCTGTTGTTAGTACATTTTTATCACTATAAGGAAATACCTGCAGCAGGCTACTTTTAAAGAAAAAAAGATTTAGTTCAGAGTTCTGAAGATTGAAGAGCATGGTGCTCAACTCTGGTGAGGACCTCACGGCAAAACAATGACCAAAGCATGTATGAGAAGGAATGATCCTGTGCCAGCATCTCCTGCGACATTGTCACAACTACTTAGCAATGTTTGGGGTCAGACTGTCGCACTCCTCTAGTGAGTTATGGCAATGAAGGCCGTGTGCATGCTGAAGGACAATGGTCCAGTGCAGGGCACCATCCACTTCAAGCAGAAGGCAAATAAAGTTTTAGTATCGGGACACATTATAGGATTGGCTGAAGGGCAGCACAGGTTCCATGTCCATCAGTTGAGAGATAATGCAGAAGGCGGTACAAATGCAGGTTCTCACTTTAATCCTCAGTCCAAACAACATGGTGGGTCAATGGATGAAGAAAGGAATGTCAGAGACCTGGACAATGTGACTGCTGACATAGATGGTATGGTCAATGTGTCCGTTGAGGATTCTTTGATCTCACTCTCAGGAGAGCATGCCATCGTTGGCCGCACAATGGTAGTCCATGAAAAACCAGATGACTTGGGCAAAGGTGGAAATGAAGAAAATACAAAAGTGGGAAATGCCAGAAGTTGTCTGGCTTGTGGTGTAGTTGGGATAGAACAGTAAACATTCCCTTCCATGTGGCTGAGTCCCAGAAACTCATCTGTTATCCTGCTAGTTGGTAGAAATTTAACTTGGTAAACATTAAACATTGTAATCTTAAAAGTATAACTGTGTGACTTCTTTTTAATTGCTCTAAGTATTTGTAATGAGAGGGAGTGATCACATGATGCGGCAGAAAGCTGAGATTCAGGGCTCAGGCTCACTCAGATTTTATAACATAATGCTCTTTTGAGAGCTCAGGGGTACATTTTTGCTCTAGATTGCTTAAACACAACTACCACATTCACTTCCATATTGTCTTTGACTGCTTTTGTACCATAATGGCACAGTTGAGCATTTGCAACAGAGAATATATAATCCACAAATCTTAAAATATTTACTATCTGACCTCTTGTAGAAAAAAAAAATGTTGATTCCTCTCTTGGACAACAGGTCCTTGGAACACAATGCAGTGTTAGAAATCAATGACACACAGAGACAAATATTTAGACATTAAAAATCACACTGTTAGGTGAATGGATAAAGAAAATGTGGTACATATACACAACGGAATATTAATTACTCAGCCTTAAGAAGAATGAAATTATGGCATTTGCAGGTAAATGAATGGAGCTGGAGAATATTGTGCTAAGTGAAATAAACCAAATCCTAAAAACCAAAGGCCAAATGATTTCTCTGATAAGTGGATGCTGATCCATAATGGGGGCAGGGTAGGGAAGAATGGAGGAACTTTGGATTGGGCCAAGGGAGTGTGGGGAGGGGAAGGTGTGTGGGGGTGGGAATAAAATGGATATTATTACCCTATGTACATGTGTGATTACACAACTGGTGTGACTGCATCATGTTCAGCCAGAGGAATGAGAAGTTGTGCTCCATTTGTGTATGATGTGTCAAAATGCATTCTACTGTCATGTATAACTAATTAGAACAAATTTAAAAAATTTTTAAAAATCACACTGCTAAATAATTCCAGGGTCAAAGAAGAAAGTCTAAATGGAACTTATAGAATGTATTAGTACCTAACATTGAAAAGGTACATATCAAAATGTGGGATGTAGGTAAAGAGAAGAGAAAAAATGGAAGACTTAAAAATGTTAATATTAGAAAATAAGAGGTCTGGGTTGTGGCTCAATGGTAGAGCACTCGCCTGGCAAGTGTGAGGCCCTGAATTCGATCCTCAGCACCACATATAAATAAATAAAATAAAGGTATTGTGTCCACCTACATCTAAATATACATATATATATAAATAAATATATATATAAATATATATATATACACACATACATACATATATATAAATATATATATATATATATATATATGAAAGGTTGAAAACTTATGTGCTAAGCATTCATATTTGACAGGTTTGCCAAAACAATTCCATGGGGAAAAACTAGTCTTTTCCAAAAGTTGCTCCAGAATAACTTGATATCCACATGCAAAGGAATAAAGTTGGACCCCTACTTCTTACCATATATAAAAATTAACTAAAATTGATCAGAGACCTATATATAAAAGCTAAAACTCTAGAACTCTTAAAAGAAAACACAGGTAAAAGTCTTTGTGACCTTGTATTAAGCTATGGTTTCTTGGATATGACAACAAAGGCATAAACAAGAGAAAAAAATAGATAAATTAGACCTCATCAAAGTTTACAACTTTTATACTTTAAGTGATGCTAACATAAAGAGTGATAAGGCAATCTAAAGGATGGGAGAAAATATTTAGAATTCATGTATTTAAAGATTTGTGGTGCCTAACATATTACAAGCAATTAAGGCTAGGTATGCAATTCAGGGGTGGAAAGCTTGCCTAGCACGCTCAAAGCCCCAAGTTTGAGCCCCAGCACCAGAAAAACAAGCAAATAAAAAGAATAATTATTGTAATATAATGAGAAATAAAACAGTTAAGTTGTGGACAAAGGATGTGACTAGATACACAAATAACCAATAAACATATCTGAGATGTTCAATGTTATTTGTCGTCAGGGAAATACAAATGAAAACTACAATGACATACCACATCGCACACATTAGGATGACTATAATAAAAAAAAGACTGACAATACCAAGTGTTAACAAGGAACCTGGTGCATTGCTGCGAGGATTTGAAACAGTGCCGCTGCTGTGAAAAATCTGGTAGTTCTACAAAAGGTTAAATAGAGTTGCCTAGGACTCAGCAAGTTCATGCCTAGGCATATTTGCAACAGAATGGAAAAGTCAGTCCAAAAAAAAGTGCATGTGAATGCTTTTCACAGTGTTGTTCATAATAGCCAAAAAGGGGAAACAATTCAAATGTCCATCAGCTGAAGAATGGATAAACAAAATGTGGTATATCCATACAATGGAATATTATTTAACCATAAAATGAAGTGAAGAACTGATTCATGTTACAACATGGATGAACCTGAAAAACGTACCAACTGAAAGGAGCTAGACACAAAAGGCACCTGGGGCATGATTCCATTTATGATAGACACATCCATAGAAACAAAGGAGACCACTGGCTGCCAAGGTCTGGAAAGGGAGCTGTAGGGAGAGACTGAACAGATACAGGGATTTCTTTGGAGTGATGAGAACATTGTACAACTGGATAGTGGTGATGCTCGCACAACTTTGTGAATACACTAAAAACCACTGAATTGTACACTATAAAAGGGTGAATATTATGATTGTGAATTATATCTCGATTTTTTTTTCTTGCTGCTTTTTTTTTGGGGGGGGGGGGCCGGGGGGGATGCTGGGGATTGAACCCAGGATCTTGTGCATGCAAGGCAAGCACTCTACCAAGTGAGCTACATCCCCTGCAATATCTCAATTTAAAAAAAAAAAAAGGAGAAGAAAAGAAAGAAAAAAGAAGCTAGAAAGGAAACATCAGAATAAAAAAATGAAAAGAGAAGAAAATAATAAATAAATAAAATTAATGAAGTAAAAAAAATGAAAAGAATTTTTTAAAAAACCCTGATTTTTAGGGGGTGGAATGAAAACTAAAGCAAAAATGCCCCAGGTGAGACCGATGAGGGATTCCAGGCAAGCAGACCTTTTGTTTTTACAAAACCACAAATTATCTGAATGATGAATAACACAAGTGTGGATTTAGGTATGCGTTGGCCCCAAGCTTACACATTCTATTCCACCTGTCCACCTCTGCTATTTCCAGAAGTCTAATGCTTGGACTCAGAACCTTAAATCAAACTTCTGTTTGTTTCCTACATTCTTCTCTTACCGGTCCAGATGTAACCAGACACTGGGGAGAGCTGGGAGGTTTTATGAGGCTCTGTTTTTTCCAGGGTTTATCTTACAAATAATTTATTTTTGCAGCATCACACTCTGGTGCACTTTCTTTGCTGTACTGGACAAATTATTTCAATATTTGCAACATTGACCATCTTGAGTCAAGGCAAAGGACTGACTCAGCTTGCTCCCCCAAAAGCTCATGGCTTTGAAAAGAAAGTTCACCCCAATCTGGCCTCACACAGAGGGATCTAGTCTGTGGCCCCAGGGGGCACCTTTCAATGCCTCAAACAAGCCAGACCCTCTCCCATTAGAGGCTGGTCCATTACTATACTTCCTCTTCCTCTCATTTGGAATGCCACCACCCAGGACGAAACCCTGCATGTTGAAATGCCTCCCCCACCTTAGTATGCAGGTTTTAATGCCCCTCTGTGGCTTCGTGGTTCATGCAGTCTTAAGGTAATGCACAAGAGAAATCAGAGGGCAAAGTACATGTTGCCCTGACTGTCTTGCAGATGGCAAGGAGGACATAATGCTTCTGCACAGCCCTGGGACCTTGGATGCCACAGCCAAGACCTTCTCTGCCCGGGTCCGAAGAGCCACAACTTCAAGAACAGAGAGGATATGGCCTGGAGGCGTCATCCCCTATGTCATCGGAGGGAACTTCACTGGTCAGTAGCCCCAAATAAGGCTGCTTTGGGGCTGGGTGCTCTGGCTCCCAGGGTTGAGAGCATCCTTCCAGGAGGGACTTGGGAGGGACAGAGTGAATACCAGGACCACAGCAGTCCCAATCTGCCTAGGTTCTCTTGTTCCCAGGGAAACCACAATCTCTTTTAGGGCTGTATTCTCAAAGTGGTCACCTTGTTCTCAAGGATTAGGTAGGGACAAATCACCCTGGTCCTGAAGGACAGATGGGGTTTGCACTATAAGCATATGAAGACAAGCCAACTCCCACCCCCAGACACAAAGGGCAGCACAAGTGGCTGCACATGGTAGCCTGTCATCTTCTGCCCAGATGAGCACTAGTAGTCCCTTATCAACACCCATCAGAGTAGTGCTCTCCGGGGCAAGCAGGGGGTGCCAATAGAGGTGACACGATGTGGCATGACTCCCTGGGTTCAAATAACGACATTTCCCATCCCACAGAGATGTTTTCAGAATCAAATAAATTAATATAGATAAAGCACTTAGAATTGGGTGTAGCACATAGTAATTAGTATTTCCTGTTAGTATTATTGTCTTTAGAATATGTGAGTCATCCCATTGGCTTCCCATTGCCTCTGAAACCACCCATCACGGCCTACCAGGCTGTCCCCTGGTGGCCTGCCTCCCCCGCTTCCTGGTCTTCTACCTTCTCCTCCTTTTCCCTAGTCCCTATGCTTTGGCCTCAGCAGCCATCTTCCCGTTCCAGAACATGCCCACCTCCAGCCCCCTTGGCACATGTAGGCTGGCACTTGCCCTTCTGTTTGCCAAGAGCTTTGCATGGCTGGCTGCTTCTAATCAGTCAAGTCTCACATGAAGGTACACACATCCATAGAAAGTCCCTCTGCCTCCCCATGACCCCATCAGGTGTCCCAGAGCCTAGTTTAGAACCTTTACGGCACTTATCATCACCCAAAATGACTTCCCTTCTTATTTCTGGTTGCTTTTCGCCTCTGCCTGAGCTCTGTGGGGGCTGGGTTTTTTTTTCCTTCCTATTTTCTCTCCCACATCTCCAGCACCTAGGACAGGGCCTGGCCCAGAAGAAGCAAAATCTGTCCATGGCAGGCCTGTGGCCAGTACAGCCAGAGTTGAACACCTCAGTGAAAGCCACCGAGTGAGCCCCCAGGTTCTCAGTGCCCTTTATGAGTCCTTCAGATCCCTGTGACTCTGTGACTTCTACTATAAGAGGTATTTGATAAAAGGAGGTGTCCTGATGACCTGCCATGGCCACTGAGAACCACAGATGAGCAAGTTGGTGAAAGAACTACACAGACCTGGAGAGTGGTCCCCTGGAGCCTGGAAGGAGCATGGAGCTGCCCCTTTGTCTCTTCTTGGTGGCATTACCCACACTTCCTAGAGCCAGCTGCATCATTAAGTGCTGCAGTAAAGAGATGACTAGGACTTTGTCCTGCCCTTGGGGAGCCCCCAGTTCTAAAGCAGAAAAGTATATATGCCTAAGGAACCGAAAAGTAGGATTATGAATGGCTGCTATTGTTTTTGGTATCTTAATTGTGTTCTGACCATAGATTATATTACCTTCTGTGATCATCTGACCACAGATTATATTACCTTCATCAGAATGAACTAATGGTATATATTAGGATTTTGTTGTTCTTTAATACGTAGGATTGCTATTTTGATGAGTAATTTAGCCATCAACAAATTGAACTGAAAATGTCAAGATGTCAAGAAGAGTGGACAGCTGTTATTCTTTATTCTGTGTCTATGTTTTGGGGGAAAATATGACAAGGTGCCCACATCTTCTAGACTATGGCAGGAGTTTATTTCAGTTTTTTATGTTTTAATTTAATTTAATTTAATTTACTTATTTGTACCCCTCTAACACTCTAACTCCTAGCCTCAGCCCTGTTTGTACTTCCCAAATACCTATGTTTTTTGAAAGCTTCTTCTAGACTATGGCAGGAGTTTATTTCAGTTTTTTATGTTTTAATTTAATTTAATTTAATTTACTTATTTGTACCCCTCTAACACTCTAACTCCTAGCCTCAGCCCTGTTTGTACTTCCCAAATACCTATGTTTTTTGAAAGCTTTTTGAAAAGCTGAAAGATATTTAATTGATAAAATTATATATATTCAAGGTGTACAAAGTGGTAATTTGATACATGATTCCATTATGTAATGATCACCACAATTAAATTAATTAACACATCCATCACCACCTGTAGTTACCATTTGGGGTATGTGTGTGGGGATGGAGCAGATTTAAAATCTGCTCTTATTACATTTCAAGCAAACATTACAATATTATTAGCAGGTCTGTTTTCTTTGATCATCAGAGCAGACTTAGGCCAGCATGTTTAAGGAAGGCATGGCCCCAGGTATGAAGTGATCAGCCCTTGCCCTGTCGTTCCAGGCAGCCAGAGGGCCATTTTTAAGCAGGCCATGAGACACTGGGAAAAGCACACCTGTGTGACCTTCATAGAGAGGACAGACGAGGAAAGCTTTATCGTTTTCAGTTACAGGAACTGTGGGTGAGTACACAGAAGCAAGACCCTCTTAGCAGAATCAGAGGTGCATGAGTCTTGAATTCCTCTGTAACACTAAGGTGGTGATTTCTAGGTGTCGAGGGTTTGCTGGAAACTCTCCTTGCCCTCAGTGAAATTGCAATCCATTTACAAAGCAGATGAGTCCAGAGTGACTCCAGGAAGACCTACTCTTAGTGGGTCCCATTTCTAGGAGTGCAATAGGTTGTATTTTATATGAAGAAAGGTTAGGCCCGTGGCTTTTAACTTCTGATCCCACTGAGAAGCCGATAGCTGGAAAAAGCTGTCCTTTCTCAAGAATGAATGTACATAGATGCAAAATTCTGCATAGCCTTACACACTTCCTACAGAAACATTACACACAAGAAAATGACTGAATTATGAAAAAAGATATCTGTTATGCTGATAAATGTGTGAGGTACTCTCTAGTGAAAAAGAAAGGTTTCCATTTAAGGTCAAAAATCAAAATCGAACTGCATGCTCTACATATAAGCTTAGAATCATGAGCCGGGTCCATAACCCAGAGAGGTTTAAAAGCAAAAGAAAGGAGGTGTACAGACAAACACTAGCAAAGGGAAGTTGGCATCCTGATTGTAATTATAGATGAGGCTTTTCTTGTTTGGGTTTTTGTTTTTATTATGCATTTATTTATTTTGTGGTGCTGGGGATTGAACCCAGGGTCTTCGCCCATGCTAAGCAAGGTCTCTCACTGAGCTACATTCCCAGCCCTGTTGTCATTTTTGAAGTTAGAAAGTGTTAAAAAAAAAAAGTGACACTTTATAATAAGGAAGGGTACAAGTTATGGTGAGAATATGTGTCACAAATATTTATGCACTAAATGGCATAGCATTAAGAGTCACAAAACAAGCCTTGGGTATCCAAGGGGAAATTGACAGAAATACCAGCAGCAGGAGATTTACTTCACTTTCATCAAGTAGGTTAGCATCAAGTTGACTAAAAAAATAAGTAGAGAATTATAGAGGATCTAAAAAGTATAATTAATACAGTTGGCAGGAGAATGAAATAAACACTATGAATACTGACTCTGTAGGTCTGTTGTATTCTGTAACATCTTTTTAAAGTGCATGTTGAAGGTGTATTGACCTTGTCCATCTATTCAGCATTAAGAACATCTCAGTAGGCCCTAAAAGGCAGAAATAACATTAAAATATTCTCAGATTCAAAGCAATGAAACTGGACACAATAATAAAAATAGAATTACCATTACTTTTTTTTTAATAGCTCTTAGGTCTTACAAAAATCAAGATTAACATGGCAGAATGTCTAGATAATGAAAGCCGTATGGTTCAAAATGAAATAGATAAGGCCAAGGCCTTATCCACAAAATATCCACACCAATACTTAAGAAATAAGTATCCAATTAAGAGAAGTAAGCTACAATAAATAAAATAGATATAAACCACAGTTGTCACAATAACAACAACAACAAAAAAAACTAATGAGAGCACAAGGAGACATTATAAGGCTAATAAATTCAAGAGTGAAATCTTTGAATAAACAAGAGACAACGGATAAACCACTTGTTGGTGTAACTGAGACCAAAAGTGGCAGCACAGAAACACACAACATTAGAAATGGAAAAGATTTTATGATTATAAAAGAGTACTTTGCAACATTCCAGGGCAACAAATGTGAAAATCTTGATAATGTGAATGACTTCAAGGTAAATATAAAGTACTGGTGCACATCAGTGGCTTTGAAAGAAATTGAAAAATGGAGGTAAAAAAGCTTTCTTGCCCTAAGAACCAAATGCAGAGTTTCATAGGGGAATTCTTTTATACCTTCAAGAATCGAATATTCTGATACTACTGAAACTTTTCAGAGCATAGAAAAAAAAAACATTTTCAAATTCCTCTAAGGAGCTATCGTGGGCTTGCTTCCCTAAAATGACAAGGAGGGCATCAACAATAAATAAACAAATAAGTTATAGACATCTCACATATGAATAGTCATGAAAAATATCAAGTAAAACATTAGACTCAGCAGTAGGAAAAAGGAAGAGTAGTTGCCACGTAGGCTAAGGAATACAGGACTAGTTCATCATTAGGAAATCTACTCACAAGATTGATAGGCCAAAGGAGGGAAACCATGTGCATATCTCAATATGTGCTAAAAGGCATCTGCAGGTTTCAACATGCATTTTCTGTCTTCAAAAAGGAGGTAGCACAGTACTAGATGTCAATTACAAAAAGATATATATATACACACACACACACACACACACATGAAATACATTTATATATCATTGCATTTGAAACCACAAGCCAATATTGGTAACAATCCTAGAAGCATTTCTGTTGGAATTAGGAACAAGCCAAAGATGTTTATGGTCACTACCATGATTTGACCTTGCTTTGGAAATACTAAGTGATATAATGAGGCAGGAGAATGAAATAAACACTATGAATATTGGCAGGAACAAGGCAAAGTTCGTGTTATTGGAAGTTAATGTGATCATGTGCCTAGAAAACCCAGAAAATCAATTGAAAAACCATTAGAAACCCAAAGAGACTCTACTAAGGTGGACTGATCACAAAAGTAACTGGCAAAAAAATGAATTGCTTTTGTTTATACAAGAACTAGCATGATGCGTTTTACAATGGAAAAAAATATCGCTTTATAATCATTATCAAAATTTCAAACGCCCACATCCTTTTGTTCATTAATTCTATTGCTTGGGATTCACCCTACCGTGAACAAGAGAGATTCCAGCTTTTCTTTGTTTCCCTTTTGTTTTGGTGTGGTTTATTTGTTTTATTTCTCTCTTGCAGCTTTGTTTAAATAGCAAAAACTAAGTGTATTTTGGCAAGAGACCGATGAAGTAAATTTTAATGCTATAAAAATATTTAGTACCGAGAAATAAACTTGGTACTGTATTGCTTTGAAAAGAATTAATGAAGTCTACAGTGGGCTCTTTAAAGCCAAAAATGAGGGAAAGAGGCAGGCTGAAAAACAAGGTCCATAGTGTATTGTGTAATTTAAATATATACTTATATAAAGATAGCTTTCTGTCTCTCTGTATTTATATCTGTCCATCTGTCTGTCTGTCTTTCTGTCTTATAATTGTCTGGGAATACATCCAAGAAACTGTTAGCAATGTTTAGCTTTGGATAGAGATTGGATGTGCGGATGAGAGACTTCGATCTTTTGAAACATGGTCAATAGACGTTATCTGGATGATAAGATGATGGGACATTTTAATAGTTTGACAAAATCAGTGTTGGACAGTGTATTAGGAATAATGAATAAATAGTTGAAAAAAGAATTGTGCCAAGAAGGGAGTCTCTGTTTCCTCTAACAATGGTACTAAGAGGCACACTTTCCAGAACTTCTGCCTCCTTCTCTCGTCTCTTTTCCTCGTCCTTATAAATGGTCCAATCGAGCCTCAGGTGCATGTGCTTAATTCCAGGAGGGGAAACTCTTTCTTCAGATTCCCAGAAGGTTTGAGAAGCATCTTTTGAGGACATCTCTGTATTCGGCAGGGGGTCAAACAATGGGAGGACTTTTACCTCTGAAGTGTGCCAGTGGGTGGGTGGGGAGGGGTGGGGTTCTTGCCTCTTGCCCTGGATATATCCTGACCTGCTGACCTGAGTGTTTCTATCATTATCCAGCTGTTGTTCCTACGTTGGGCGTCGAGGAGGGGGACCCCAGGCCATATCCATTGGCAAAAACTGTGACAAGTTTGGCATCGTGGCTCACGAGCTGGGCCATGTGGTTGGTTTCTGGCATGAGCACACCCGGCCAGACAGAGATCAGCATGTCACCATCATCAGAGAAAACATCCAGCCAGGTAAGGAGGCCTGTGTAGAGTCTGGAAGCCACATCCAGGAAGGTGGCACCCACAGGGTCAAGAGGGAGTGGAGGAGAGGGCCTGCTGGGAGCTGAGCAAAGCTGACAGCTAAACATGGGGCAGCGACCCAATTGTGTGGGCACTTGCTGCCAGCACTGCCACTGTCCGTCCTACTGTGGCCTTCTTGGGCAGTCACCTGCTCAAGTTTGTAGAACAGAAATGAAATAATGATTTTCCCATGTTGTAAAAGACGGTTCCCTAAATAGAACAGAATCAACCAGAATTCTGTTGCAGCATCAGGGCTGATCAGCCAAAGAAAGTTCTCCCGGCTGCCGTCGTGAGTCATTTTGCTGACTTGGGCAACACATGGTTTTGAAACTGCAGTGCAGTTAAGGTACCAGTGCGTGTAAGAGCCGTGTTTCTGCCTAGAAGCCTTCTGCCCCAAGGCAGCTAACGCATCTAGATTTTTAAAAAACATATCTTCTCACGTTAAATAATTAAATTTAACCGTTGATATTTAACAGGAAACTTGCTTGTTGAGTTATAGGGTTGCCTTCAACATGCTTTAGAGATCTAAACTGTGAAGTCCTTGGGATTGAATTTAACTCTGATTCATTTTCATTTCCTCCTTCAAATTGCAAGAATGGAATTTTTGATTTTTAGCTTAACTTTTTTTTTTTTTTTTTTTTTTTTGGCAAGCAGATTGAGTGCTAATCAGCCTGCAAATATAGTTCAAGATCTTCAAGTGGCATTTGGGGAGGGGTGTTGGGTGGCAGGGCTGGGAGAACACAGGGCTTGCGTTAAGTTTCCAATTTCCAACTTCTGTTAGAAACAGCAACAGGAAGCTCTGTAAACCCTGTTATTTGACTGGCTGGGGTAAGAGTGGCGGGAAGTGCTACGGGCCCTCCCTCTCCCTCCTCTGCCTCCTTTCAGGTGCTGCCTTGGTTTTCAAAGTCCTTAACAGAGTGTTGTGTCACAGGTCAGGAGTATAATTTCTTAAAAATGGAAGCTGGGGAAGTAAGCTCTCTGGGAGAGACCTACGACTTTGACAGCATCATGCACTACGCCCGGAACACCTTCTCAAGGTCGGAACCCTTGCTTGTGCTGTCTGTGTTTTGTCGTGCCTGCCGCAGGCTTGGGTCAGATTCCTGAGGTCTGTGCAGAGTGAGCGAGTCTCTGCATGCTCCTAGCACGGCTGGCCTGTCTGTCCTTGAAATACAGTGGCCCCTGGGCTGCAGTGAAATATAATCTAATCAGGTTCCTGCTAATAAGATTGTATCCCATTGTGAAGCTGGCGTTCCATCATATCCTAATGTCACAAGCAGCAAACTGGAAAAGGGGAATTACTGAGAGTTTAACTGGGATAATAACTTAGAAGCTGTGTGTAAAATTTTTTGGGGGTGGGGGAACCTCTTTAAAGCATGTCCTTGTGTAAGTGTGGTGGTGCTCACTGCTTCTCCTAGAAGAGGTTTGGTTTATTGGAAGCTAGGTCGTGTCAGAGGCTGGAGGGCTGTAAATCACAGATTCACCTTAGAGGTAAAGAAAATGAGGCTCCAGCCAGCTCAGAGGTGCACAGGTAGCTGGGGTTGGAGGGAGAACAAGGATCCAGGTTCTCTGCCTGCCGATCATGGATGATGGAAGGTATTTTACTGAGTGGGGCTGGACCTGTTTTTTTATGGTTGGCATTGGCAGGGTCTGAAGAGCCGGGTCACTGTTCTCCTCCTTACTGTCCTGCTTCTAGGCCACGTAAATGTTTTTTTTTTGTGTGTGTGTGTGTGTGTGTAGAAGTTTTTCCATACCAGTTCCATTTTTTGTGGGTCTTCCCGCTCTTGAGTTAAAGAAGATACACAGTTCAGATATTCTCTCTCTTGGCACTTTCTTTTCAGTGTCCTCTTAAAACCAGCTGTTTGTTTATTTAATTGTTCCCCCAGAAAAGGTTTGAGGTGACTTCCAATACATGCATACAAGGAAAAAAATGGATTGAGAAAACTGGGGGAAAGAGAGGGGAAAAAAATAAGAATAGAAAGTTACATTGAAGCCTGGAATAACTTTAATACTCAGAATACATGCTGTAAGTTCTTGTACATCTTGATGGGGTTGACAGCAGACCTTGCCCTGTGCATCCTAGCAGTCACAGCAAAAAAGGGAAACAATCTATTTTGGGAATTGTCATTGTGCATAAAGATTAAAGGTAGCCATTGGCTCAGGAGACCGTTTCTAGACTGAAATAGATACCAGTCACCAGGCCTCCTTTGTTCTGGTGAGACTGGTGGAGGTACCCTGTTGATGCCGTCATAAGATTAGTAAATCTCAGCATCCCAGGTTCTCCAGGGCACTGTTCCCTGGCCACACAGCTGAGTCAGTCCTGACCCGTCTCCTGAATCCAGGAGGGAGCTCCTGAGCTCTAATGGGAGAGTTCAGTCAAGTCAAAATCTTTGACAGCATTTCAAAGTGGCATAGGCCTAGCCACCCTTGGTTCTTCTTTCTCCTCCTGGCTCTTCTTCAAAGACACAAGGGGCAGTGGAGTGTGACCAAGAGGCCACTGAACTGAGAGTAGGAAGACTGGGTTCCAACCCGAGGTCTCTCACAGCCTGGCAGCTGAGGTAGGTGCAGACAGCAATTAGGGGGAGCTGTGTAGTTCGTTCAATTTCCCATTCCATGGGGCTCAGTCTTTCCATGAGTGTCCTCTGAGCCCCTTCCATCTCTAACCTTCATGTTTCACTTTCTTAATCTGGTGTAGATGGGTGAGAGGTTGACAGATAGGCTCTTACCTGATTCTGTACAGGAAATCTGGAGCTGGCTGGGCTTTCTCTTCCATGTTGGGAGGCTGAGACTTTGAGAGCCCACTGTGGGGCTTTGTGTGCAGTCTCAGGAAGCCAGTGGAGTGGGCAGGATGAGAGCCTGTCGGGGGTGCATGTCCCTGTGTGTTGGGCTGACCCTCCAGTTTGGGAAATGGCACAGGGAATAACCAAGTATCACTCCATCATCCCATCATCTGTCATGTAGAGATCAAGTACTACAAGAGTAGGAACCTTTGTTGAGTTGGCCCCACTGAGAAGCTGGTACCTTGGATCTTGTTTCTGTAACTCTTCATGTTGCTTTTTAATTAATTATGGAATTATGATTGATCTCTTATTATTTGCATTTTGTATTCCTCTCTCCCTTGGTAGATGAGATCTTTGGGGAGAGTCTATCTCTTTCTCTTCTAGTCTTCAGCACTCAGTAGGGTGCTTGGCACATGATAGATATTTGTTAAATGAGTATACTAATGTATGAGTTCCAAGGGGCCCAGGAGGTCAGCAGTGTTGTTGCAATTCTCTGCACATTTCATGATAAGTGACTTCAGTAAGGAGAATCTGTGAGCTCTCCCAGCCTGAGTGTGCTGTGGGAACTGCAGTGTCTTTGGGCCTGTTCTGTGCCAGGTGCTGCACAAAACTTTGGAGCCAGAGGCCAGACATGGGCTCTTTTGACATCAGCACTTCTTTCCTTGTCTTTTTTTTTTTTTTAAAGAAAAATTCCTTATTTTTTTCCCCTTGAGATTTCTAGCTCATAATCCCATCCCTTTTGCCCCTCAGGAGAAAACCATTACTGCTATCTATTATCAAAGGCAACCATTTTATCAGCATGAACCAGGGGAAATCCATGATCCAAACCCATGAAATAATCTCTCCTCATCCAAAGTACCCACAGTTCCTAGGAGGGAGATTGACAGGGGCAGCACTGGGTGTGATGGGCAGCTTCCCCAAAGGCCATCTTCCCTTCTGCAGCTGTTACCTTATCTATTATTGCAGAACAATTCTCGGCCTAACCTAGCAGAACAATCCGCTGCAAAACTTAGGGACTTAAAACAGCAGCTCATTCTTTTTTCTGGTACTCTGGGTCAGTCCGGCTCATTTTTCTCTGGTCTGCCCTGATATCACTCATGCAGCAACAGTCATTTGACAGTTTGAACTGGGGGTCAAGATGACCAGTCACATAGCTCACAGTTGGTGCTGCTTGGCCGTGCCAGTCGGTCCCCCTTCCCACGGGCTGTCATCCTCCAGTAGGTGGGAGCAGGCTCTTCTCTGCTTGAGGACTCAGCTCCTGGGGGCGAGCTGGGAAGCAGCAAGGCCCAGGCTTAGAACTTGCATGACATCTGTCTCTTCTGCTCCATTTTATTGGTCAGAGCAACCCACAAGGCCAGCCCAGTCTCTGGTGAAGAAATAGATTCCACTTCTGAACGAGAGAGAGGAGTGGCAACTTCACATTGCAAAGGGATATAAATATTAGGAGGTGTGATAATTATTTTATTAATCTATCACTGCTCTCTTTTTACCTCTGCACCAGAGTTTGGAATGTTTTTTTTTTTTTCCAAATCTATTTTGCTACAGGTAGATACCTAAATTGTCTTTTCTGCCAATTTTCTGAAAACCATTCTTTTCTTTGGGCCCTTACTAGGGGGCTTTTCTGGAATTTTGTCCAAAGTTTCTCAAGTCCCAGTGGCTCAGGAGGCTGAGGCAGGAGGACAGCAAGTTTGAGTTCAACAAGTTCAAGTTCAGCCTCAGCAACTCAGTGAGGCCCTAAGCAACTTAATGAGACCCTATCTTAAAACTAAAAAAATAAAAAGAGCTGGGGATGTGACTCTATGGTTAAAGGCCCCTGGGTTCAAACCTTGGTACAAAAAAAAAGTTTCTCTACTCCCTAACTTGAGGTCATTACTCCTGTTTACATATCCCTGAAACCATACTGTACCTTGTCTTTGATTCTGTGAGAGAGCAGAAGACAGCCTACAAATGTATGCTCATCTAAGGAGACAAAGGCTTTTCCCGCTGATGGGAAACCCGGTCTTTTTTTCTCTTTACAACTGAACCATCTCCTTACAACTTTATTCCCTCTGGTTTATTGTGCTGCTTCTCTGCTCTCCCTTAGTTGGACCCAAGCTGTGGGGAGTGATATCTTTGGAGACGTTTTGTTGGGCATAGATCCAGGGAACAGGAGGAGACAGTCTCCTAGTACAGGGATGTCTTTGTTTGGAGAACCCAGAGCTGACAGTTTTATTCCCTATGGCATCTGCCAAAGCCTTTCTTAGTCTAGCAGAATGTCAATTTCAGTGCTAGGGGTTGCCCCCCATGAGAGGGGGAAGGATCACTATGGCAATGTGTTACTCAGGGCAGCTCTTCCAGCAGACCTCTTTCAGTGTCCTGTGCCTTGCTGGTAGCTCGGAGACGTACAGGAATATCCCAGCTCCAAAACCTGTTCTCATGTGAGCCAGTGTGCCTGTTTGAGGTCTCCAGGGCTTTAAGTCTCCTAGGCACTTAATACTATCATTGAAGGCCCACTGTTTCCTGTCCACTGTTTCACTAGCTGGGAAGGAAGAAGATGCTCAGGGGTGGGTTCCAGGGCTGCCTGGGTTCCAGAGCTGGCTGACCACTGGGCAAGTTGTGTAAGCCCCACAGGTTTGGATTTCTCACCTGTAGAGTGGGAAGCCTAGTGATAGGGAATCTGCCTTCCAGGGTGTAAAGAAGATTAAAAGAGAAGATGCTTGTCAAGCTCCCGGCCCCAGGCAGGTCTCTTATCACTAGGCTCAGGGATCAGAGCACAGTGGGCTTCAAGAAATGGCTCTTGAATTAAAGTATGCAGCCAAGACAAAGGGCTGGCTTCAAAACATTTGCAAAATAGCTATTTACATCCAGAAGGAAATGCTGAAATGCACACAATCACCTAGCTACTAACTGTGCACTCTCCTTTTTCCTGGCTCTCTCACTTTCAAACACTGTTTCTCTTAACTCTGTACTAACCTAGAAAATGCGTATTATCTGTATTTCTTCCTGGTCACATTACTTTGTCATATTTTTGCTCTAGAGGTGCTTGTTTTTCTAAATCAGACTCCAAGCTGACTTTCTCTCCAACACTAGCACGAGAAGTCTAGACCATCTGCTGATTTCCCTTTCAGCCTCTGGGTGCCCAGCTTTCTCTAAATGTGCCCTAGCTTTCTCTAACTCCTCCTGTCTCCTCTCTGGGCCCGCAGTCCTCTAGAGAAACCTCAGTGGAATCCTTGGTCTCCCTTAGTGACCTCACCAGGTTTTAAACCATAAGTAATGACTCTAGAGAACTCTAAATTCAATCACCTATTATTGTAAAAATAGGCACCGCTGCTCTCACAAATGATGTGTCCATTTGTAGATATTTCCCTGAAGAAAGGAATTTTGCAGCACAAACGTAATAATCATCACATTGTCCAAGCAGCCCAGGCTCACACACCCTGCCTGGCAAAGTCACCAACAGACCTCGCATGTGGAGACCGGGTCTCCTGCCCTCCCTCACCATTCTTAGGACACACCTGAGCTAAGGCAGTGGCTTGGGAATGAGGAGAAGGGTAGGGACTGGAGGGATGCCATCATAGAAGGCGTGGGACCTGGTCATTAGTCCAAGGGAGTGTGAGGGAGAGGGAGGAGCTGAGGCCTCTTTGGTCCAGTCTCAGGAGACAAAGGTCATGGAATTAGCAGGAGAAGATTGGAGCAAATTTGTTTTGGGACATGTTGGGTAAAGAAGCCCCTAGGATAGCTCGGGTGTCAGGGGCCTGGTAGATGGTTCTGAGCTGGAAACAGAATTTATTGTGTGTCTCAGGTGGTGGGTAAAATCCTGGGAGTAGGTGGAACACGGAGAGAGGAGAACAGAGGAAGTGGGCAGAACCCCAAGGGACAGCATTAGTCAGGAAGCAGAAGTGACTCCTGTAGCTCAGCTTAGAGCAGTGCTCTGGGAACAGGGAGAAGAGAGTGAAGAGGGTTGGAGGGGTGACAGGTCCCAGGGCTGTAGAGAGCACAGGCGAAGTCTGAGAAACACCCATTAGTAGGTGAGTGGTGACCATCACGGATGGTATCAGATAACAGGTGGAGTGAGGAGTGAATGATAGGTGATCATCAAACAGGGAGGGGATGCAATTCTTTCCAGAAACTCAGTTAAGAAAGAAGAAAACAGGTGGTACCAAGAGGAGCTGGTTCAATGCAAGGCCTAACCTCTAGGAGAGGCCCCCCACAGATGGTCTGGAGGCAGAGAGGAGGCTCAGAGCTGGCAGCAAAGCAGGTGGGGAGAAACCACGCCCACACAGGGCGATGCAGATAGGGCCGGGGCTCAGCCAGGCATCCTGGTTTCCATTTGTGTTTTAGAAATGAAGCTGTCATTTTAGATATCATTCACATGGGAGTAGAATATGATGCTAACCCTGGGAAGGGCTGCCACAACCATCCAGGCCAACCTCTTTCAACTTCCTCTTGTTCTCTGCATTTCTCTCTGGCCATCACGACCCCTCAAGCTGATTTACCAACTCATTTGCCTTCACTTGCTGGCCAGCTGCCCAGAGCCACACACTGCACCAGCTCCCGTGCTCCCTCCGAATGACTCCAGAACTTATCTATGCATAGCACTGCCCAATGCACACCTCCAGGGGGCGCCACTCACGCCGCCATCTATCTGAATGGTGCTCCCTGCCTTGTGCAGTGTGCTGACCCCAGGGCTAGGCTTCTCAGGGACTTCATGAAATGCTCAGTACACATCAGTAAGGAAGGCTCTGGCAACCAGGCTAGGGCATATTTTTCCACTTGGCAGTCATCTTTCCTTGGAAAGTGAGCAGGCAGCTGATGAGATGAAATGCTGAAAGGCCAGCCAGAGCAAGGAAGCTGCTCCCGTCATGGCAGCCCGGGGAGAGGCAGGCGGGGAAGGAATGCTGAGGAGAATAGGGGCAAGGAAATGAAGACTAAAGCCCAGGTGCACAGGCTGACAGTCTGACTTTTCTTCCTCTCTCTCTTTTTTGTTCCTGTAGAGGAGTTTTCTTAGACACCATCCTTCCCCGTCGGGATGACAATGGCGTCAGGCCCACCATTGGCCAGCGTGTGCGTCTCAGTCAGGGAGACATAGCTCAAGCCCGGAAGCTGTACAAATGCCCAGGTAACTGTGAGCCGCAGGGTTCCCAATACCTCTGAGCATCCCACAGAGCGCAGCTCGCTGCTGTTTGCAAATGGCATTCTTGTGATAACTTGGGGAACCTAAAGGGACTGTTCCTTGGCAGTTATTATTTCTGAGATCTGTCTTAGGAGGTGTGAGATTGCATAGAAAACCAAAATGGTGAGGAGAATTAATAGGTTCTCAGAGCCTATAGCAAGACTTGTGAAGGTCTTTGGACTTCTCTGGCAAAGCCCGGGGTCCAGAGGGGAAGAAGTCGCAGTAGGAGAGCAGTACACAGGCATCCAGGGTGGTTGGCCCCATAACAGTCAGAGCACTGGACGATTGGGACTGGTGATGTGGATTTGGCAAGACAAGAACCAAGGAGCTGGGCAGGAAGACAGAGTGAGGGAGAATGCTTGGGGAGAATGGAGATCTGTTTCCCAAATACTATGGGTAGGGGAAGCCTCAGTGCTATAAAGGAGGCCATTTCTATGGCCTTAGGTCAGTGACCAGTGGCTGCTATTGAAGACTGGGCAGTACCCATGGGTTGGAGCAAATGCCTATTCTGTGGCCAGTTCAGCAGTCCCCGTCCTTTGAATTGGCCCTCTTTGCCTTTTGTCGTCTTACTTTCAGCACCATCTCAACCCCTGCTACCCTGAGAGTGAGGTCTCCTTTCATCCCCTGAGCTGCTGGGTGACAGTGCAAAGCATTGGTTGCAGCAGCCAAAATTTTACCACGGATGGGACAAAATACATTCCTATGGTTTGGGGAGGACAGTAGGAAGTTCCATTACCAACAGGTCCAGTCACTTTCCAAATGCAAGCCTCTGGAGAAATGCTGGGCTGTCACATTGCTCTACTACACAGGACCATGGGACCTGCAAAGGACTCTGTGGGGCTTGCATCCTCATGAAACTAGGAAATATGTCCATTCAGCTATCAGTCATCTGGGGGCATGTTGGGGCCGAAATACAGAACACGTATATCATATAACCTTGCTGAATTTAAAGGGAAACCTTATAGCTCTCCCTGGGAAATGCCACAGTATTTATTTAGTTATAATGTATATGCTGCTTATTTCCCAAAAGGGTCCAAGGCAGCTGGTAAATACCACGGAGCTACACAGTAATATATCTGTTGTTGCAGAATGTTGATGATTATTCTAAAATAATTTCCATGGAACCCTCGGGGGTGTTGACTGCCGGGCATAATCCTCGTGATGCCTGGCAGTTGTTCGGTAATATGATATTGAAGCCCCGATATCCAGGATTTCCTGAGGCCAGGGATGGGCCGTTCTCCACACATCTCTTCCTGAAGTTCCAAAAACTATGGATCTTCAAGTCGTTTCACAGAGTGACTGAAAGCTAAGCTGTTGTCAGGCAGAGGTTGAGTCACATGTAGGAGAAGATGTTTAAGGACATTTGTTCCCACGCTTTGGAGGTGTCCCCATAAGATGAGAGGCACCCAGCAAGCCAGCGTCTTTGTCTTTGGGGTTTAAATCCCTGGAGCTCAGAGAAATCCAAAACCTAAAGCTCCCAATATACAGGTTTTTTTTTTTAAGGACAAATCTGGGGAAATATTTTTAACATCCGTGTTCTATGTTTTAGACTCATGACCAAGTACCCTTCAAACACACAAGGGCAGGATAGCATACGGTAGAATATTTTAGCTTCCTGTGCTTCTACATTCTTCTCTGTTTTCTTGACTAGATGATAGCTTGTTTGGAGGTGTGTGGCAGGAAAAAAAAAAAGAGGGAGGAGGGGGAGGTGTGGGCAAGTTTCAAACTAATAGCTGAGGGCTGGGGATGCAGCTCAGTGGTAGAGTGCTTGACCAGCATGCTTGGGGCCCTTGGTTTGATTCCCAGTGCTGGGGAAAAAAAAAATGATTCACACTAACAGCTGAAATGAGTTTAAAAGTATTTTTTTTTTCTTGCCTCACTGACTGGCACTTCCATATTCTTCCTGTGGCATATGTTATCACTAGCAATCATAATGGCTGCAGTGTATGGAGCACTCAGTAGGTCCCAAGCACTGAGCACACCCACTTCACACAATGCAAATGATTCCACTCACACTCTGAGTGAGGCCCTGCTTACTTTACAGGTAAGAAAACAAAAGTCCAGCACACAACCACACAGCTGGCCAGAAAGCAGATATTCCAACCCAGCTCTGGGCTGTCCTCAGTCCTGAGAGTCTCAGCAGAGCCCCCTGGGTGTTACTCTTTGTACCCTGATGCTACTTTCACTTATGTTAGCTAGAAAAATGTCAACGTGCCAGAAAAATGTCAGCGTGAGCTTTTGGGAGACACTTCATATCCAAACCATAGCAGATGTTCACAGAAAAATGTCAGCGTCCAAGATTGCGTCTTGCCAGTGGTTCTGAAGGCTTTGGGTGGTGAAGGGTGTGTTTGCCCTGCATTCCTGAGCAGGGGCTGCTTGGGCAGGGACCAGGTGCATGAGCCATGTCACAGTTCTTGTTTTGCTTATGCAGCATGCGGGGAGACCCTGCAGGACACAACAGGAAACTTTTCTGCACCTGGTTTCCCAAACGGCTACCCTTCTTACTCTCACTGCGTCTGGAGAATCTCTGTCACTCCAGGGGAAAAGGTAGGTGGAGCATTAACTGCCCTGGTTGGATCATTGCACGTGGTATATATGTACTGAAGTCGCACAGTGTACTCCATAAATATGTACTATTATTATTAATAAAAAATAATTAATTAAAAATAAATGTTTAAAGAGATGAAACTGTTAACTACCCTGATTTGATCATTACACACTCTATACTTGTATCAAATTCTCACTTTGCCCCATAAATATGTACAATTAAAATAATAATAAATAAATATTAAAGGTGAAAAACCTTCTTGTGAGTTGGGTGAGATAGGAGGACTTATTTTTACAGTTACTAGTAATCATAAGAGCAGTTTTCTTATGAGCACACAGTACGTGCCAGGTACTTCACCGGTGCTACACATTCATTATTTCTGGACTTCTCCACCAGTCTCACCTGTACACAAGGAGGCCTGGCACATACTAGATATCTATGTAAGTTACAAATCAAGCTAACTGTAAAGTAGATTGTATCTCCTACCTTGATAAGCACACTATTATTATGCCCTGGAGAGCAAGGTTCATTTCAGAATTTATTGACAGCTCAGAGTGCTACTCTGGAAGGTGTCAACATGGCAGAACTGGCCACAAACCCACTGTTGATTGCTTCAGGAGCCTGTGTTGACACCCTGGCCACAATCCCAGGCATCAGCCACTCCTACTTTGCAGACAGCTGCTCCTTGGCTAGTGGATGTGGGTAGCCACCCTCAGGAGGATGGGTCCAAAGAATAGTCCTTGCATGCACTGCAAGTGGGCTCAGAGCTATATGGACAGGGAATTCCAGGGTCCTGGATCCTTGGAGTAGGGCTTTGAGACCAAGGAGTATAAGCTCTGGGTTCACATGTTCCTTTGGCCCTGAAGATTCCATGACCCTCTAGAGCTGAGCCTAGGGCAAGGGCCTCTTTACTCTGCAATAAAGGTGGCATGTTCTCAACCCTACTTCAGGGTGCATATTCAGGGTGCATATTCATAGTCTATGAAGGAAGAATTTTAAGCTCAGACATTAAGGTAACTGCCCAAATTCATGGTGAGATATAGAACTGGGAATGGGAAACCAGACCTTGTACTCCAAAGTTTATCTTATTACTTAATAACTACAAATGCAAGTGTTCTTCAAATTGTCTTAGATTTGTTTTAGTCAGCTTTTTCACTGCTGTGACTAAAAGATCTGACCAGAACAATTTTAGGGAAGAAAAGTCTATTTGGGGGCTCATGATTTCAGAGGTATCTCGGTCCATGAGTAGTTGGTTCATTCCTCAGGGTTCAAGGTGGGGCAGGACATCATGATGGAAGAGTATGGTGGAGGGAAGCAGCTCACATGGTGATCAGGAAGCAGAGATACAAATATATACCCCAAAGCCAGGGCCCCAATTCCCACCTCCTCCAGCCACACCCTACCATTTCAGGTACCATTCAGTTAATCCCAATCAGGGGATTAACTCATCGATTGGATTAAGGCTCTCACAACTCAACCATTTCTCTTCTGAACCATCTTGCATTGTCTCAAACGTGAGTTTTTGGGGAAACCTCATATCCAAATCATAACAGATGTTCACCGATCTCTGTAATCATTCCTGTCACGGGATGTCCTACAGTTCCGTGACTGCTGATTTATTTGTCTCACTTCTAATCCTTCAGCTCAGAGATTGTCCCCACTCAATCCCAGAGGCTCACATAGTCTGTGGCATAAAAACAGTCACACAATGGATATTTGTTGAATGGCTATGTGGACACCTGAGGGGCTGAGTGACAGCAGGTGGGGGGTGGCAGCAGGCAGCCTTCAGGCATTCCTAATGCATAGCTTTAAAAAAGTGTCCATTTAAAAAGTGTCCATTTAGTGTTGAGTTAAGCATAACGTGATGAAATTTTCTAAGGGCTGGATTCTATTCTTAGCATGTAACGTAGATCATTTGATTGGATCCTCACATCAACCTCATATGCTAGGTGCCCTTACCATGCTCATTTTACAGGTAAGGAAATGGACTTGCCCAAGAATACTGTTTGTTGCACAGTTGGGATTTGAAACTGGGTAACTAAACTGGGAACCCACATGCTTGACCATCATCTTATGTTATTACCCAGACACTGTGTGTGCATTTATACATATACATTTGCACACATACGTGTGTGCTCACACATGTACACTCTTTCTTTGACTCTGAGCATTTAAGATGGTGTTGTTGCCATCTTGTATCCAAGACTCCAGATCTTCTTCCTTGGGCAGATGGGAGGTGTCTGTGTTGGAGGTGCTAACAGGGAGGAGGCAGGGAAGAGGAGGAGGAGGAGCAGGAGGAGGAAGGAGTCTGGTAATCTCCAAATTGTCGAATTGCCCTGCACAGCTGAGGCTGTGATATGTAAGCCTCAATTATTTGTGCTAACTGGGGGCAGGGAGAATATACATCATTGAAATTCCTACACCAATTATTCCAATTTCTGCTTCACACAGCCTTCCCCAGAGCTGCTAGTAATTAGCAAACTTGATTGATTCAAGTATCACCTCTCGTTCATCACCTCTTCCCCTATGGTCTTTATGGTTCACTAACACACTTAAAATAATTAGCCTGAATAATTATCCTGTTCATTCAGATCATGAATGTGTTACCAGGGAAGTTGTACTAACATTTCCTTTCTGTAATTTTAAAAAGCAAAGACTAAAGAATTATCGCGCAACCAACTTCTAAGTATTGTTGAACTCAATCACCTGAATACAGGCACTGTGGGGGATGTGAGAGAAACCTAAGGTAGATCCCTATCTTTAAGAGGCTTAGCGTTTAGTTTGGGCTCCCCCTTGCTCCCTAGGAATCTGGTTTAATGGAAGGAGGGGCATTGGCTTGGTACCAGCTTTTTCCTGAAGTTTCCAAGGTGATTCTAATGTATAGTATGGTTGAAAAACACTAGTTTTAAAGGAGAATGACATATCTTACTCACGCATGCACACACGCACGCGCACACACACACCCAGTGACAGAGATAAGCTGGCCTCTTATTTTCTGGAACACACTCTTCATTTCCTAGGAGACTACAGGGCTTTGTGAGAGAAGATGCTACTTGTCCTGGGATCTTGTGGGCACCCCAACACCTTGAGATGGGCAACCTGTGAGGGTTTGTGTCAGTTGTGTTCTCTAAGTGCACACTCTTGGGACCTGGTTTTAATTGCCACTTATGGGGTGCCTCCTACATGCTGGGCAGGCTTCCGGACAGTGATCCCCAGGGCTGTTTGAATATTAAAGAAGTACCCAGTGGAGAAGCAGAGAGTGAAGGTGCTGGGGACAGATGAGCTGTTGACAGCAAGGTCCCTGGAATTGTAAAAGGAGTAGGTTCTGGGTGCAGGGCAGGGGCCAGGGCCAGCTGAAGAGCAGGAAGAGCTGAGGATTGAAGGAGCAGGGACATGCTGAACGTGGGCAGAGAGCCGCTAGAGAGCTTGGACGAGAAGGCTACTGCTTCTCAGTGTGACAGCCACCCCTCGCTCTTAGGTTTTACGTCAGAGTGTCCTGGTTAGCTTGTCACACCTGTCCTACCTTCCTTCGCTGACTTCCCTAAAAGCAGGACATCCTCTTACTGATCTCTCTCAGTCACTCAACACAGACTAGCACACAGTAGGTGGTCAACAAGCCATGGTGGAATGAATGAATGCACTAATTATAGGAAGGCTATTAGATACACCATACCTCGGAACAGTGAGGTCATGGCCGAGGGGACATTGATCACGGAGGTGCTCAGATGCACTCAGGCTAACCCCAGACCCCCCAGAATGATTGATGATGTTATAAGATCTTTCCGTATCTCTGAACTTCACTGACCCCTTACCTCCTTCCAAATCCCAGTCTCAACGCGCCCTGGGCTGTCTTTTTAATGCATTGTGCTCTCTGTAAACCACCTAGTGACTTCAAAAGCTCAAGTGATTCCCCAGACAGAGTCTAAGGGCCCATCTCCTTCTGTTTACTCCCCATCCTGCCTAAGGTTTATTATTTAATGTCATGAGGTTTCCTGTGCCTGTATTTTTGAGAAAACACTCCTACTGCATTCTGGGGGCTCTGTATGCTAAACGGTAACATGAGAACACCAGTCTGTGAGACACATCGTGCAGAACTCTTCGGTCTTTGTTGTCCAAACTCACTTTATGGTAATTCCTCACAGATCATCCTGAACTTCACATCCATGGATTTGTTTAAGAGCCGCCTGTGCTGGTATGATTACGTGGAGGTCCGGGATGGTTACTGGAGAAAAGCCCCCCTCTTGGGTGAGTGGACTTCAGACAGCCTTAAGAGAGAAGCCATCAGGTGTTCTCTGGGATGCTCCCGCTGTCTCCAAGGGACCATCTTGTCGGCAGTCACAGGAAGCTCTCAAGGGCCTGTGTCATTGTAAAACTCTGAACACTCCATTTGGCCACACATGTTAAAAGCTTTTAAAACTGCTTATACCCTTTGACCCAGCAATTGCACTTCTTGGAATTTATCCTAGGGAGCTAATTAAGGAAGTGCGTAAAGCTCTAGCTACAGGGATGTGCACTGAAGCAAGGAAAATTGAAAGCAATTTAAACGTTCGATGGTAGGGGTTAGCTGAAGAAATGATGATACATCTTTCCCATGGAAGACTTTCTAGCCATTAAAAGTTGGAGGTGGCTGTGTGTTAATATAGAAAGGTGTTCATGGTATGCTATTACACAGAAAGAAAATTGTGACAGAATAGAATATGTAGTAGCATTAATTAAAAATATGTGTACTGATATACATACATGCATGCATACCTAATGTAGACATTGCAAACTTAGATGCCCTCGAAGGTGTAAAGGAATGAGATGGGATTGGTGTAAGAAGTGGTATGGATTGTGATGAACTGAATACCAAATGTGCCACCCCAAATCATTCCAAACAAAATGACTTTAAAAAACATTGTGCAGGCTGAATCCCACTGGAAGAAACCATTTTGTTACCTAAAACATAAAAACCAAGTGAAATTATAAATGTTAATGAGTAATAGTAGTTATCTCAATATGGTGGCGTTTTTTTAAAATTTTTTATTCGGTTCTTGGTTTAGAACTTTTTCCCCTTTTCTATGCTGGATATGTATTTTTGTGAGATGAACAGGGTGTGAACTCTATCCATGAAGAGGCAGCTTGGACCTTGGAGTGAGGGACTGTGAACAGGAGGCATAAAGAGAAAGCTGAGTTCATTCCAGGCTTGTCACAAAAGCACAGACCCCTCATGAGTGACCTGGGAAGATGAACACTGTTGAGGACCAGTGGATCAATGACTTGGGAGCTGACATTGGGACTCATTCGGCTCAGGAATGGCAGTCATGATGGAGCTGGAGTGAGAAGCAGATGAACAGGAGCTAGAGGGAAACGTCCCAGCTGAGGGGGCTGTCCTCCTCATTAGAGCCGGCTGTAGGGTGGGCTTCTGGGTTGGATTGGCCTGGGGGCTCAGTGAGGACTTGGTCTCTGGCGTATCTTCCTATGAGCAGAGAAGCCACTCCTGCTAGGCTGAGCATGACGAGCCTGCAAGTGAGCTGCTGCTGCTCACTGGGCTGAAGATCATAGTGGGAGCTGAGGAGAGGGCTAAACCCCGAGTGTCACTGCTACACGGAGCCCTGGCATCATGCTGGATCCTGGGGAACCACCTGTGGGATACGCCAAAGACACAGTGACAGAAGGTCTGGTTGGACTCAGGAGGGTCCCTGGTAGCTATTGGGTTTCTTTATGACTAAGGGTTTTCCACCTGGTCAGCTACCACTGTGAATAGCGCACAAGCACCAGTGTGAGGAAGGCCATGAGTTTAGATTTCTAGAGGTAAAACAGATAGGCATCCATGTCCTTGGGAGCTCCAGGGAGCTGGGAAGTAACCAGGCAGGCTCCAAGTGGGGGTTCCAGGTTGCCACCATGAGGAGGAATCTTCTGGGTAGATAGCAGCCCAGGTAGACAGGACGGGAAGGTGATCCCCAGGCCAAGCATGCACAGGAATGTGTCCACTGCAGGACAAATGGGTTGTGCCACCCAGTGGCAGCATAGAGGCTGTCTGTCCCCACCTGTTTGCTGCCTAACATAAGCAGACGTGGCAGGTGCCAGCAGCACTAGTGCTTCACGGGCAGCACTGATCAGGTATGGCAAGATGACAGAGGGCGGGATCCCTGGGAGCAGAGGTTCTCAGACTCGGCTGAGCACCAGCATGGCCTGGGAAGAGTTCCCTGAAGAGAGATTCCCGGGAGAAGACTGAAATGGGTCAGAGAATGGTCCAGCTGACCTAATACAAAGAACGGGGGCTGCAAGGACACTTATCAATGAAGTGGTTGCCCTTGAGAAAGGAAGTTGGGCTGGAGTCGGCTTCAGGTTGTGTTTTGCACACTTCTCGATTGTTTGGATTTTTCATAAGTACATTTCACAGGAGCTGTTTGGGAGGAGCCCACCAGAACAGGGACCCATAGACCCCCCACCCCTTCATGAGAAAGCCAAGCTCCCCAGTGTGCACTAACTTTCGAGGGTCACAGCTAGTAGTGACAGATGAGAGAGGTGATATTCAGAGATCCAAGTGACGGGGAGATGGCTGCTGGGTCTGAGCAGGATGTCCCCTGAGGGTTGTCATATAAATACATTAATCTGTGTTCCTCTGAAATTTAAATCTGACTGACTTCCTGGAGTTCTGTTTGCTAAACCTGGCAGCCTCTCCCCCAGGGAACGCATTGGGCTTAAGACTCAGGAGGAAGAAGCTTTCTGTTACCCGGTTTCCCCAGAGAGGGCCAAGGCACGTTCCTGGGAATGGGCACTGGCAGAGGGCCAGGCGCTCCCTTGGTTGGAACTTGAAGCAGGGATTTTCTTACTTCAGGTCCTGGTGTCTCCGGCTACGCTTTCATTAATAAGATAGGACTTTTGCAGCTTATTGGTGGTGGCGATGGTTTGGGTATTTTTGTTTTGTTTTAGGAGACCTGGGGTATATATTTTACCCACTAGTGCAGTGTGTGGTGTGTGTGATATGTGTGAGGTGTGTGTTTGCTGTGTGGTGTGGTGTGGGGGGGGTGTGGTGTGTGGTGTGATATATGTGGTATGTGGTACAGTGTGTGTGTGTGGTATGTACGTGGGGTGTGAGGGGGTGTATGTGATATGTGTGAGGTGTGTGTTTGATATGTATGTGGTATGTGGTGTGGTGTGTGTGTAGTGTGGTATATGTGGGTTGTGGTACAGTGTATGTGGTATGTATATGGTATGTGGTGTGTGTGGTGTGTGCTGTGTGGTATGGTGTGTGTGTGTGTGTGGTGTTTGTGTGTGTGGTGTGGTGTGTGTGATGTGTGTGGTGTGTGCTGTGTAGTATGGTGTATATGTGTGTGGTGTGTGCTGTGTGGTATGGTGTGTGTGTGGTGTGTATGTGTGTGTGTGGTGTGGTGTGTGTGTGTATGTGGGGGGTGTGGGGTGTGTGTATGTATGTGTGTGTTGTGTGCTGTGTGGTATGGTGTGTATGTGTGTGTGTGTGTGATGTGTGTGTGTAGTGTGTGCTGTATAGTATGGTGTATATGTGTGTGGTGTGTGCTGTGTGGTATGGTGTGTGTGTGGTGTGTATGTGTGCGTGTGTGTGTAGTGTGTGCTGTGTAGTATGGTATATATGTGTGTGTGGTGTGTGCTGTGTGGTATGGTGTATGTGTGGTGTGTGCTGTGTGGTATGGTGTGTGTGGTGTGTGCTGTGTGGTATGGTGTGTGTGTGTGGTGTGTGCTGTATGGTATGGTATGTGTGTGTGGTGTATATGTGTGTGTGGTATGGTGTGTGTGCTGTGTGGTATGGTGTGTGTGTGGTGTATATGTTTGTGTGTGGTATGTGTTGTGTGGTATGGTATGTGTGTGTGGTGTATATGTATGTGTGTGTGGTGTATATGTGTGTGTGTGTGCTTTGTGTATGGTGTGTGTGTGTGGTGTGTGCTGTGTGGTATGGTGTGTGTGTGTATATGTGTGTGTGGTTTGTGTTTGGTGTGTGGTGTGCTGTGTGTAGTGTGTGATATGTAGTGTGTGGTGTGTGTGTGTGTGTGGTGTGTGGTGTGTGGTGTAGTATATGTGTGTGGTGTGTGGTATGCTGTGTGGTGTGTGTGTGTGGTATGTGTGTGGTGTGTGTAGTGTGTGTGTGGTGTGTGTATGTGTGTGTGGTGTGTGTGTGTATGTGTGTGTGGTGTGTGTGTGGTGTGTGCTGTGTGGTATGGTACGTGTGCGCGTGCGCGTCCTCAGCTTCTGTGACCGCCATTCTTCCTCTGCGGCAGTTCTCCTTTGCCAACTCTTTGGCCCGCTCTGATGTTTCCAAATGCAGTTGTTAGTGAACTTTTGTGTTTGGAACAAGTGCACCGTGTCAGCAGAGCCGGTCCCTGGGAGGGGTCAGTGCCATGAAATCTACTGGAAGGAGGCAGGTCAATGCCCCTTTGGCAGGAGGGAGAGCGGATTAGGGTGGATTGTGAAAGTATGCATCTTGCTCTGAAAAACTGTGCGTGGCATTTTTTCCCAGGGCAGTGTGTGAAAATCCAGGCATAATGCGCGCATAACTTTTTATGAATGAACCCTTTATGACTCCCCATGGAGCCCACTTGTAGTGGTCCTCATCTGCATTTCCTCTTCTTGATATCCTTATTAAACTCCTCCTCCAGATCCGGGAACCAGATTTCAGTTTAGGAATTTGATACCTTTTCTCTATTCCAGTTTCTCTCCAGCCTATTTATTCTCCCTGGAAGGAGGCTGTTTGGGACCCAGATTTTCACATAGTGATTTCAAGGGAAAATTAAGGACATGACTGGTACAGATCTCAAATTGTTTTTTCAGTTTCAGGGGCCACTTAAAAGATTGTGCTGAAAGACAGGAGGCGATGTTGCATGGAGAACCTGTCCAGTATTTCTAAGCACTGTCCTGGAAACTGAGTTCCTCTTGCGTATTTCTGTTAGAGGAATTACTCTAAGAAAAAAATCCCTCAGAAGCCTATAAATTTTCAGTAATTGATATCCTTATTAAACTCCTCCTCCAGATCCAGGAACTTCTGTACCTAGTTTTGGGCATTCTGGAACTCTACCATACACACAAAAGCCCCCTTTCCCTGAAATGGGGAGGAAAGTTCAGAAAGGCCAGTCTGGCTATCAGTGTCGTGTGGCCTCACTGTCGTGGAGTGCCCTAAGCCGGAGCAGCTTCCCGAACCAACAGGAATGATAGAGTGAGGCCAGCAGCCAAGACCGCTATTTCACTAGACTTGCTTCCTGGTGTGAGGCTTTGACCTTCATTTGGAGGAACTCGGCTGTTTCCAATCTGGGAAATGGACATGATGCTTACATTCCTAGAGGGCAGAGTCCAAGTCTATCTATCCAAAATTGTGCAGTGTTCAGAATTTCACCCAAGTTCCTTTTGATGGTGGTGATAATGAAAGAGGTAATATTGATGATGAAAGGCCAGATCTCAGACGATGAGGTACAAATTCTGCTTCCATTTCCAGCTTTGAGAAAAGTTCTCTGATCCTCAATTTTTTCCCCTATGAAATGGGTTAGCAATAGCACTGAAGTCAGGGACTATAGGAATGAAGTGAGATAAAGCCACATGAAGTGCCTAGGACGGTGGCTGGCATGGACATGGTCAGTGACAAAGGGACTTTTCTGAGAGCCACTGTGGTAAAGCTGAGAATGCTGGGGTGTTAAGAATGAAACTGGGGTCCAGTTAAGAATGAAAAAGCAACTGGGGGAGAGCACTTAGATTTTTAATCTATCCGGTCAAGTCTGGCTTTGCAGAGGCTGCAAATATACTCAGTCGCAGTTCCTCCCTTCTCCAGGGTCCAGAGCAGAGGCTGCTGATCCTCTGATCCTAGGCTGGTGGGTGGTTCTTATCCGGTTAGGTCCTCGGGCAGTGAGGCAGCCAGTGTCCCTTTTTCTTTTGGAAATAGTCCCCATTGACTGTGACAGCTGGGGTTTTAAAAGCAGGAACTTGGACTTGAAACTCGGGCTAGGCTAAGAAGGAATTCCCTTTGTGGACTGGCATTGTCTACTGCTGTTCAGCGCGCTGTCTCCCCGCTGGCGAGTGCTGGTATGTGTCTTTTTCCAAAAACTAATCGAAACTAATTGGCCACGCCAGAGGAACAATTACCGAAAATTTATAGGCTTCTGAGGGATTTTTTTCTTGCCAAAGTCTCTGCAGCGGTTTTATCTCATCTCTCTGAATATTAAGCTTACCAAATCCAAATGTCTACAGGTGCCCAGAATCAAAAGGAAGCAGAGATTAGCGGCTCTCTATCCCATCTCTCCCCAAAGAATACAAACCAGAGTTGACCACTAAGAAATGCCCCTCGTGACATCTAGACCTCCCCCAGTCTCGCTGCTCCCCTCTTTCTCAGGAAGGTAAAGCAGAAGTACAGCTTCAAGTGGTCTGCCCCGTGCCTGATGTGGCGTTGACAGCGAGTGTGCACTAAATATCTGTTAAATGGACTTTAAATAAAGTTGAGATAAAATTTACAATCTGTGAAGTTCATAATTTAAATTCAGTGGTGTCTAGTATGTTCACAGAGGCACACAATCAATTTTAGAATATTTCCATCATCCTCCGAAGGACACCATATTTGTTGGAGTCTCCCCACTACTCCTGTCCCCAAAGCTAAATAAATTCTTTGAGGACTGTGCACAAGTAGGTGCCTGGCAGAACCACAGACTTTCAGTCCCCATCGACCTGGTTGCTTTGTGTTTTGACCAGTGAGACTCAATCCATTCCTGCCCCACCCCATCCCTGCCCATGACCTTGGATCACCATGTACTAGGAAGGCATCCTCCATAGAGGGTCCAGATTTCAGACCACATATACAAGTGTCTAAGAAATGTTGGGTTTTTTTTTTCAAGAACAAAAATATCTATCTATTATGAGCCCTTTTTCTATCAGGTATTAGGAACTTGATTTCATTCAACTTGTGTTTTCTTCCCCTGGGTTGGGGGCATGCTTTGTGCCAAGGCATGGCAGGGAGGCCTCCATATTGCCATCCTGACTGGCCTTGCTGGGATGTCCTCATCTCCACCTAGTCAGTGCTAAATGGCTACCGAGCCTCCTCTTTGCCTCAATACTAGGGCAGTTCAGAATGGTACCACGTCCACATCTCCCTCCAAGCTAGGGAGACATTCTCTGGCTCCCCAAATTCTGTGGACTGTGAGAAAGTTGCTTCCGCAGCCCCACAGCAGCCTAGAATTGTGTTGCTGAGCTATATCATGCTCTGCAGAGGAGCTCTGCATTCCTGTCTCATGGCCAAGTGTCTTGCAGAACCATGTAGACACATCTGCTCTGACCCCACAAGGGGCAGGGGAATCTTAAGGTCCTGTTGCTCCTCAGACTCTGGCCAAGGACTGGTGATGCAATTTTCTGCTTCTCCCAGATCCTAAAACCTGCCTGAGGTTTCTGTTGTCCTTTTTCATACAGTCTCAGCTCAGGGTGGGACAGGGTACAGATCCTTTAGGGGTTGCATGGTGCCTTCTCCAACCCTGCCTCCTAGTCCATTCCCTCCTCCCTCCTAGGAACCTTTCTAAGATTCCAAGGGTGAGGAAATTGCACTCATCACTGTGCGGGCTTCCACATCTTCTGTATTGTGACTCGGCTTGTGAGATTCAAAAGCCAGGATTTGTTTTCTTTGTTGTGTCTTCTCTGGCCTCCATTCTTGAGGCAAGGAAAGCAGAATGCCCCCTGCCTTTGGGGATGAAAGAATAGGAAACAGCAAAGAAGCAGGTCTCACTCCCTGACCGCCCTTCTGCCACACCTGCAGAGCTGCCACATTTGGCAGGGGAGGGGCCTCAGTGGTACCCCGGGTGCTTAGAGTGATCAGAATCTGGAATTCTCCTGCATGAGGCACAGGAGAATGATCACCAGACATTCAATCCGTCTCCCAGTCCTGTGTGTGCTATAGGTCAGCTGCCACGGGTTGGGTTATTGCTCACTTCAATCCACTTTGAAAGACCATGATGGTCAGTCTGCAGTGAGCACCTTCTTGGCGTCCCCGGGTATCCTGACTGTGTCTTTTGCACTTTTTAGGTAGGTTTTGTGGCGATAAAGTCCCAGAGCCCGTGGTCTCCACCGACAGCCGGCTCTGGGTAGAGTTCCGCAGCAGCAGCAACATCCTGGGCAAAGGCTTCTTCGCGGTGTATGAAGGTTTGTTCCCCTCAGAACCCGAGGCATCTACCTGTCACCAGCCTGCTGAACCCTCCTTCTGGACCATCCAGGGAGTGTTTTACCCACACAGGGATAGTGTCAGGGTTATAGAGCAGTGGCCTCTGAATAGCTGTGTGAGCCTGAGCAAAGAACCTGACCTCTCTGGGTCTCTGTTTGTTTCACTTGTGAAAAGAAAACTCTAGACAACATCAGGGAAGAAACTGCACTTCTTAAAAGTGCTGCCATAGAAAGTAATACTGCTGCTGCTGCTGCTGCTGCTGCTTCTTCTTCTTCTTTTCTTTGGTACTGGGGATTGAACTTGAAGCACTTGACCACTGAGCCACATCCCCAGCCCTATTTTGTATTTAGAGCCTATTTTTTATTTAGAGCCAGGGTCTCACTGAGTTGCTTAGCCCCTGGCTTTTGCTGAGGCTGGCTTTGAGCTTGCGATCCTCCTGCCTCAGCCTCCCAAGCCGCTGGGATTACAGGAGGGTAATGCTGCTTCTCTGTGCCCAGCTTCTCTGGCTCACTCCTCACACCACCTGCCCCACCCTAGGGGAAAAAAAGGGGGGACACTGCTAGAAAATTATGAAGGCTCCTGTTGGCCTCAAATTATTATACTTTTGGAGAGGCTGGAGGGGTTTTTTCGTAGAATAATAAAGTATTATTAATAACACTAATAATAATAACAATAACATTCTTGTCTGTGTGAGCGTGCATACATGTGCCCACACAGTGTGTGTTAGAATCACCCCAGGACACTGCTGCTGCGCAGCGCTCCCCAGAGCCACTCAAATCAGAACCTCTGGGAGTGTGGCTCTGACATCCACAGTTGGAGTGATCTTCCAGGTGAATTTGATGCCCAGGGAAGGCTCCATATGGTTATTTTCTTCATATGAAAAAAATCCAGATGCATTTGTGCCTTTCTGAGGCAGTCTTTGTTGGATGCAGATGAAAATGTTGGTGCGTGGAGCCACCTACTGGTGACAAGTGGCCTCCTGCCTTCCCCTGACCTCCTTCCTCCCACACTCTTTCTAAAGCTACCTGTGGAGGAGACATTAACAAAGATGCCGGCCAGATTCAATCTCCCAACTACCCAGATGACTACAGGCCTTCCAAGGAATGTGTGTGGAGGATTACGGTTTCCGAGGGGTTCCACGTGGGACTTACCTTCCAAGCTTTTGAGGTAAGGACACTCGAATTGTCTTACCTGGGAGGCAGTAAGTGGCAATTTTTGTTGGAAAAGCGCTCTGTAAAGATATGTTTTCATGTTAAAAACAGGAATCCAAGAAGCCATTTCAAGCCCCTTGTGAGTTGTGACTGGACATCTGATATCAAAATTTTTGTCAGTTTTGAAATTTGGTTCACCTCCTTTCTGCAGGCTGCTGTGGGCAGGCTGAGGGCCCCAGGTCGGAATCCAGGGCAGTTTTATAGAATCCTTCTTCCCTGTTTCTCTGATTCTCTTCTCAGCTTGATTCGCCCTTGACTTCTGTAACAAGGAAACAGTTTGGAGAAGTTCAGGACACGCCGGCTGGGTTAGATCGTGAGGGTGAAGTCTCGGCTTCATTCTCAAGTGGGACACCACGAAGCCCTGCCATCTGCCACCTTCCGCACTGTCTTTGTTTCTCCATTTAGATTGAAAGGCATGACAGCTGCGCCTACGACTACCTGGAGATTCGGGATGGCCCCACGGAAGACAGCGCCCTGATTGGCCACTTCTGTGGCTACGAGAAGCCCGAGGATGTGAAATCGAGCTCCAATAGACTGTGGATGAAGTTCGTGTCCGATGGTTCCATCAACAAGGCGGGGTTTGCAGCCAATTTTTTCAAGGGTATGAATTAGCGTTTCGCTTCCCCTTTTAGTCACAGGAAGAAATATTGCTCCCCCAGTGTTAGAATCATAAAACCCATATGGCACCTCAGCACCAACCAGACTCCCTGCAGGGCGGAGGCAGCGACCCATTTCAGAGCTGCGTGTAGGATCCCTTGGAGCCCCCAACTGATCCTGAGCAGGCTCAGCCTTGGCCTCTGCAGGGCCAGTGGGTCTGTACTTGGAAATTTGATTTAGCAAGCTGACAAGGTCAAACCACACTTGAGGGAAGCCGAACATCCATAATAACAAATATTTGTATAGAAGTGATCATCAGTTGAGCACTTACTGTGTGCAAGAGCTGTGTAAGGTACTTGATTTGCTTGATGTCACTGAATTCCTGATAGCCCCCTGAGTTAGGTTTGGGTTACATTTGATCAGCACTGAATAGGGCTGCTCAGGATCAGCCAGGAAAGTGGCAGATGGAGGAGCCCAACACAGTGTGACTTCCCAGCTCAAACTCTTCCTAGGGTGTTGCCTTGCACTCCTTAGTGTGGGCCAGAGGCAACCCAGGACTTCAGCTCCTGAAGCATTAGCCCCCAGCCTCCACGCCTACCCCTGGGGGAGTGTGGGGGGAACAGATCAGGGGATGCTCTGGGAACAAATCTCCTTGTTTCCTTGGGGACCTGCTACTGTGCAGGATCTTGGTGGAAGCAGCCCCAGCATACTTGGCCCCAGTGTGGGCTTCCAAGCCTCCTGTGAATGGTGGGTCTTCCTTGTCTGCTCTCGGGGCCCCTGACATCCTGCAGACCACACTCTAGGAGGAGAACATAGATGTTGCTCAGTGCATTGTGATTGGCGCCCAGTAGCATTCCTGCAGTCCGCGTAGAGACAGCTCTGCAGTGGAGACCCCTTAATAATTGCCAGCACTTCCCGAGCTGCCCAGCTACTCCCGCCCAGCGAGGCTGCTTCCCTGCCTCTCCACCTCTCCTGGGCTCCTGGCCCTGCCAGCCCAGAGATCCTGGCCCCTCTTCCCTTCTCCCTTCTGCCTGCTTTTTAGACTCCCTTCCAGATTCTACATGAAGGATCTGGGTGTCCGAAGAACCCTCTTCTAACCATACCACCCAAGCAGGCAGCCACGTGTCCTTCCTGAAGCCTCAGCTGTCCCCTTTGTAGAGTAGGGAAGAGGATATCTGCCCCTTTTCTCTAACCAGTTTCTGTGAAGCCCCTGTGAAATGGCATCTGTGGAGGCATTTTATAAGCTGAGAGTGCCACACAAGATGTGGGGTTACTCTTTTTCACTTTATGAGGCATCCTGGGGATGGCAAGAAAGAGAACAGGAATCATAATGGCCAGCTTCCTCAGCCCAGCCTTCTCCCAGCCAGACCAGCTCGTGTGGCAGGACCGAGCCAGTGAAAGAAACTGGAAGTGTAACTACAAGGCCTGCAGGAGAGCTGGAGCGAGAAGAGGCTCTTGCCTTGGTGCCAGTTGGCAGCAGGCTCTGCCCAGGGCCCAGCTGGCCCATGACACTGGCCAGGGTGCCAATTGGCCTCAGCCCTCATCTCTTGATGCCAGATGGCAGCCCCTCTGAGGGCCTGCTGGCTGGGCAACAAGCAGAGCACCTTGGGCTTCTGTTGCTTTGGGAGATGGCAGTGGCTTTCAGGGGTTGGGTGGGCCAGTTGGTCCCACACCCCCTACATGACTAATGCAAGGATTCCACCTTGAGCCCCGTGTTCCACTGTCCAGTGCAGATGGGCAGTGCTGGGTGTCTAGTGGTGGGGACTGGCTTCCTTCAAGGCATTTCCTCAAAAGTTCTCTTGCCCCTTTCCCCAACTCTCTCTGAAACGATTTTTTGGGATCCTGCCTAAACCATCTCTTAGGCACAGAATGGCTCCATCTGTTTATTCCACCTAGAGCATAGAAAGAAGCCAGAGCTGACCATACTGAGCAGAGTCCTGGCTCCAGCCTCTTCTCCTACCTACCTCTGTGCTCTCCCTGGCTGGTTGGCCTCGGCCACAACAGCCCAGAGCAAACAGGAGCCAGTGGACTTGGAGCAGATGCTACTTTGTGGCAGCACGGAGGTGATGCAGACAACCAGGCTCCCTCTGAGAGCAGGGCCCTGAGACACTTTTGTACATCTATGAAGTGGTGAGACGCCACCACCACCGCTCTTGAAAAGGCCGCCCTTTCTCCCCCTCAACGGCTCAATGCCTTACCCTTCCCGTCTTTGTAGGAATTGCATTTCCTTTGCTTTAGGCTTAAGTCCACTCCACTGGACTCCCTCCTGCACCTGGCTATGGCACTGAGAAACTTATCCATGGATCTTTCCTGTGTGTTCTGCCCACCGCCACTGTATCTTCTGGCATCAGAACTCCTCCTGTCCCTGCCTTGGGCTTTGTTTGTCTTTGTCTACTCTGACAGACACTCCTTGGTTTCCTTCTGCCCTTCACCCATTTTTTAGCGTCTGCTGTGCATTCCTCCTGCCCATTTGGTCTTCCTCCACCGGTCCATCCTTGATGTGTTTTCCATCATTCTGTTCCCCCCCCCCACCACCTTGGCTCCTTCCCCTCCCCAGGCCTGCACTGCTCCACTCACCTGGTTCAGGTGTGGCCAGGTAGTTTTCTGCTTCCACTCCCCCATCGTTGTGTGTCTCTACCCACTGAATTTCAGCAGCCACTCCACTGTTGTCTGTAGTGATCTCCCTGAGCCCCGTATGCTGGGTACTTCACGGGCATCATTTCCAATCACCCCCTGGAAGCAAGGACCGTTCTTCTCCTATTCCTGCACAGGAGGGAGGCTCAGAGGGGTTAAATCCCAGTGGTCACCCAGTTTGCAATGGAGTGGGGAAGAGCCCCTGGTGGACCCAGCCTGATCTGTCTCACTTGAAGGCCTGGATTCCGTCCACTGCTTCTTGTTATCTGTTCTCTTCTTTCTATATTTTCTAGCTGAAAATGCTTTTCCTATTGTAAGGTGAGGAAAAAACAATTGCCTGATGGTTACTATTTCAAAGTACTTAATGCTAAATTTATTGGAGGCCACGGATAATTTCAACTCCCTGCCTGGGCCATCTTTAATCCCAGTGGCCCCTAACTGGCCACTGCTGAGCCCAAGAACACCCCACCCTGAGGGGTACCTCAGTTTCTTAGCGACTGTGTGAAGCGGTGGGGTGTTTACATGCCATCCAGGCCGGTGAGAGATTGGTGCAGCCCAGAAAGGGGAGATCGGCAGCTCACGGGCTCATCAAGTAGGGAAAGCACAGCGGAGAGGGTGGGGTGAGGCTGGAGGACTTGTGTCTTTGCAGGGCCATTGGGTTGGGACTTGCATGGAGTCAGACAACCCAAGAAACACCTTCGAGAAGTAGCCAGAGCCCTGCCCTGGACTTTTCAGGCAGGATCTGGAAAGCCGTCCATTGGGACTGTTAGGAGAAGGACCCCTGCCTGCGGTGGGAGACTGGGTGTCTTTCTTAGATGTCCTGAGTTCTGTCATTACAAGTGTCACGTCTTCTTCACAGTTTGGGGAACAACTCCTCGTCTGCGCTCTTCTGGTCTTCCGTGGTGCTCTGGAACAATACTCTCCTTCCTGCCCCGCTCTACCCTTTCCTCTTCCCAGGCTGGACTTTCTGTCTTCAGTTTTGTTGTCCCTCGGCTAGACTCCTCTACCTCTGTGGACTGCAGCCCACAAGCTCTTTTTCAGGGCTAGATTCCAGGGCTCGGCAATGCAGATATTTTCCCTTTTATTCCTAATGCTCTTTGGAAATGCCAGTTGCTGGGATTTGTCTTGTTTTCAGTAGTGCCTGGGCTAGCGTGCGGGGAGGAGCCTCCAATGGCTCCTGTGCTCTTCTGGATGGCACTCATGGTATTCCACTTCCTGTTATTTAATGCTCCAAACGCACCCCTAGGAGCTTGTCCCTCAGGCTCCCCAACGCTTCCTCCCCCTGGCTTCTCCCTGCAGTTTCTTCCGGGAGCAATGAGAAGCCCAGTGGTTTTTGTAACCTTTCAGATCTCCCTACATTTATTTATTGAGGCTATCTATAAGAAAGCTGAATGACAGATTTCACTTTTAATGTCTATAGTACTTACACATCTTCATCTAGAAAAGTGTCCTTTCATTGTTCCCTTTTTGTGAATGTCTCTGAGAAGTTCTATATTAGGGGGTGGGAATCCTCCATTCCATGGCATTAAAATGGTATGGAACCCTGTGAGACTTTTTTAAAATCACACACATGCACACTGCTTACTGGACACCTTGTAGAATTTGATTGTCCAGGAATGGGCTCCCCAGGAGGAGCCCCACGCCGGCTGACCAGGTGCTCCTGCTTGGGTTGTCAGGATCCCATCCAAATCACAGCTACCGCCAGTACAAATGTGGACACAGGGCTCCTTGGAGGTGGTCAGCAGGACTGCACTGGTTCTTGGAAGACTTCAACTGGGTCCCTGGGATGTGAAGGGCGGGGAGCTGGCTAGGTGGCTGTGTGATGATTTTAGCAGGTTGCCCTCCTCCCCAGCAGAGGTGGATGAATGCTCCAGGCCGGAACATGGCGGGTGTGAGCAGCGCTGTGTGAACACGCTGGGCAGCTACAAGTGCGCCTGCGACCCCGGCTATGAGCTGGCCACCGACAAGAAGACATGTGAAGGTTGGTGCTGATCCTGCCAAGCTGGAATGGCAGGGGAGGGGGGCAAGTTTTAGGAGAGATGGGGCAGAGATGGGGCAGCTGGCTGGCTGTGGACTAATAGCTTATTTCCTCCGTCCCTTTTCTCCCTGGCCGGGGTCTGTGCACCTTGCCCACCTGTTTGAATCAGCTTGCTAATGCAAGCCAGGTGTGGTGAACAGCTTGATGCAAACACTTCTATTTGTCCTTTGCTCCAAGTTATGTGGAACCCCCACCTGTGCTGACCACAGGTCAAATGCATGGTTGTCATTTTTAAAAGCAGTAAAGACTCTTCTCAGTTCTGTCCCTCCAAATCCTCAGTCGAAGCAATGAGGTTAGAAAACAGGACACTACATTCGTCAGTTCAGATTGCCTAACTTTTTTCATTATTACTGAAGAACAGCAGGGCTTATTGCTGCCTGGGGGAAACTGCAGTCACTTGGAACTAAAACCAAATGAATCTTGTTTCTGCTTCCCTCGTGCAGTGGCCTGTGGCGGTTTCATTACCAAGCTGAACGGAACCATCACCAGCCCTGGGTGGCCCAAGGAGTATCCCACAAATAAAAACTGTGTCTGGCAGGTGGTGGCCCCTGTTCAGTACCGCATCTCCCTGCAGTTCGAAGTGTTTGAACTGGAAGGCAATGACGTATGTCTCTGCGCTCACTGATGCGGGACTGTGTTGAGAAGTGACTCGGAGCTGGGCACCGGGGAGGGGCCCCCGCAGGCAGGGAGGTGGCTGGTGTTGGAGCTGCTGCTTTCAGAGTCATAGAATCCTGGGGCGCATTATCCAGCGGTGTTGGCTGCACATCCTCTGTGAATAGTGCCTCAGGTCCTCTTGTCATTGATAAATCCAAGGAGAAGGGGGACAAGCATGAAGGAGGCAGGTGTTGGGGTTTGGGGGTGGTCAGGACAGGTCTGAACTCTGGGGTGCAAATGTGGGGGTTGGTGTCCAGCTATTGAAAACAGAGGAGCTGAGGACCACCTAGACACAAGGACCTCTTCCCTCTCTCGAGAGTGGTCTTGGATGACCAAGTCAGGCGAGGCCCAGGCAGCGTCCTGAATCAGAGTGCTTGTTGGAAACGCTCCCTGTCTGCACCTGGAACTGGAGGGACACTGGGGGCACACAAGCCCTTTCCCATGTTCCCCCTGCCCCAACCAAGCTAGGATTCTCACCCTAATAGTGCCAGCCAGGTTGTCACCTAGTCAGCCCTTTGGGGTACTCAGAAGAGACCCCAGTGCTAATGATCCTGATACACAGGGACTCAGGTGCCAATGAAGGGTTCACCACCAAGTAAATACTGCATGGGAAAAATAAACCCTTGAAAGTAATTGTTCAGACCATTCAGCAGTGAAGTTGCTTTTGAGAAAAATTATTGCTACAGCAGGTAACACGAGCCATTCCAGTCCTGGCTCCACCACTGGCTAGCTGTGTGACTTCAGAAAAATGTCTTTCCCCTTCTGAGCTTTAGTTTCTCTCCATGGGAATATGATGGAGTTGGATTGTGTCCTCCTCTTCTCTTCCTCCTTCTCCTTCTCAGTGGGGGCCTTTCTTCAAGCAAACTCTCGTGTAGAAGCCCAATATACAAAATAAGTAGAAATCGGGCTACAGTTAGCCATAAACTATGGTGCCAGGTACAAGAGCCTCAGCTGGAAAGCAAAGTCCCTGTCATTGCCCTCTGGGACTCCCTCTAGTGACTGGCACAGAGAGTCAAGGGGAACCTCCCCTGGGTGGGCTGAGCCCATCAGGCTCCATGACAAAGTGCAGCTCTCAGAAAGAGGCCTGGGGTGGGGACATGGGCGTAACAGGCTGCTCTGCACCTTGTTCCCTGTAGGTTTGCAAGTACGACTTTGTGGAGGTACGCAGTGGCCTGTCCCCTGACGCCAGGCTGCATGGCAAGTTCTGTGGCTCAGAGACCCCCGAGGTCATCACCTCGCAGAGCAACAACATGCGCGTGGAGTTCAAGTCTGACAACACCGTCTCCAAACGCGGCTTCAGGGCCCACTTCTTCTCAGGTGTGTGGGTTTGGAGGTGAGGCCAGGGACTGGGGGTGAGGTGGCTTTACAGGCCTCCCGGGGGTCCTGGGCTCCTCCTGTCTCCTACTCCCTCCCTTCTCTCTTGGGCCCTCTGCCTTGACAGTAACGAGCCTGCACCTAGAGGTTCTGTCTGGTTTGGTTTGGTATCAGTGGCTATGCTTCTTACGGCTGCCATAACCAGCTCCCACACCTGGGTGGCTTAGAACAAAAGAACCGTGTTCTCTTAGAGTTCTGCAGCCAGCAATCTGAGATCAAGGAGTCGGCTCTGGAGACAACCCTCCTTGGCCTCTTCTAGCTGTGGTGGCTCCCTGCAAGTCTGGGCATTTGTTGGGTGGTGGCTGCAACCCTCCCATACACAAGCCAAGTGACACCCAAATCTGAGCAAAGAGACTCCACATCAGGAGAAAAGCAGGGGTGGTCTATCAGGGAGGCCACTGGAGGAGGCCACTTTGGGCAGGTTCTGTACTTCGAGGGAAGTTCCCAAGTTGGCCGCTTCTCTTAGGAGAGTCCCTTGACCTCCCCAGACAAGGACGAGTGCGCCAAGGACAATGGTGGCTGCCAGCATGAGTGTGTCAACACGTTTGGGAGCTACCTGTGCAGATGCAGGAGCGGCTACCGGCTGCATGAGAATGGACACGACTGTAAAGAGGGTGAGCCGGAGCCTGCAGAGGTGGCGCTGCCTCGGCCACCTGCCCTGCCTTCGGAGTGCGCATGTGCTTGCGGGAGGGCGTGGCGTGGGCGGGAACAGACGTGGGCAGCCTCCTACCCTGTGCCAGGTTGCCGCAGTGTTCCTAGGCTGGGTCTTTGCCCTCCTCCCAGCGACCACTTGCGGCCCTCCTGCCAGGTCTTAGCAGGCACGGGGCAGCCTCAGGGGCTTTAAGCTGAGTTACAGTAGCAGGGTGGGTATACCTGTGGGCAGCAGAATCAGACTACCTGGGTCTAAATCCTCTGTCTGCCATTCACTAGCTGTGTGACCTTGAGCTAATTACTTAACCTCCCTGAGTCACAGTTTCCTCTTTTGTTAAAAAGGTGCTAAATATCTCCTTCCTAAAGTTTTTGTAAAAATGTCTAGTAAGTATTTCAGGCAGTCTGATACGTATTATACCCTTAGATGTCAATAAATATGGGCCATTTATGCCTGTGGTATAGTATTATTTACATATTACAGTAATACAGACCTCATAGTGAAATATATTTTGCTCCAGCCCCATTCACTGCTGGGAGTTCTTCAGGGCCAGAAGGCTATCAATGCCCAGTCATTCTGGGAAAAAAACCTTCCCTCTGTTCTTACCCTGTCAAGGGAAGGGAGTTTGCCCCTCTGTGATCAACACAGACTTCATGCCTTGGCCCAGCCACGAAGCCCAGCACAAGAAGTCGTGGGTGGGGAGGATAGGAAGACCACAGGCCCCTTCTAGTTTCTTCTTTAGACCTGGGAAGGATTGAGTGAGAGGATGCTTACAGAACACTCACCACAATGCTCAGCACAGAGGGAGACGAAATCTAGCCACTGGCCAAAGTGCTAGGCATTGAGCAAGTCGTGGGACCACCGTTTGCTAATGCACTGTAACCAGGACGAAGCAGGCCGACTCCAGGTGAAAACGCTTTGAAAAGCAGAAGGAAGCGTGTAGGTAGAGGGATGAAGCGCCCGGCTCAGGCCTCTCACACACATGATCTCATTTAATCCACGCGTGCAAGGTCGGCCCCACTTCTACAAATTAAGACACAGCCCTGAGGACCGTCCGTGGTAGAACCAGGACTCGAACCAAGCTCCAAATGAGCCCGGGTCTGTGCTCTTAGCTCTACCAGATTGCAATGATGACCTTGATGTGAACAAAGGGAGGAGGTGACCTGGCTGCTGAGCCACAGCCAGGAAGGCAGCACAGCCAGTTCAAACAGATAGGCAAGTCTCTGCACCAGGGGACACTTGATCCAGGTTGGCCACCCCTATGTTGATGACCCTGAGACAAGGGAGAAGGGGGGAGCTCCCCTAGAATGAACGCCTTTGGTGCTACCCGCAGTGAATGATTCTCTCTCCATGTGTCCGTCACACCCAGCTGGCTGTGCGCACAAGATCAGCAGTGCAGAGGGGACCCTGGCAAGCCCCAACTGGCCTGATAAATACCCCAGCCGGAGGGAGTGTACCTGGAACATCTCTTCAACCGCAGGCCACAGGGTGAAACTCGTGAGTCATTTTTGTAGTTTGAGTCTCCACTCAGCCACTTCCCAGATCAGAAACTTGGGCGAGTCATTCATTTCTGGATCTTGGTTTTACTATCTGGAAAATGGGGATGCTAATGAAACCCACTTCCTGGGGGCTGTTGTGCAGATGAAAAGAGAAAACGAAGAACAGCTCTATAAACGTACCAGTTTACAGGGGCACCTGGGTGAGGTGGTGCCCAACACACAGATCTGCAGTGCTGTTGGAGATTTGAGTGTTTCCAGTTTTGACTTTTTACACAATGTTTCATTCTCAAGGTAAAGAAAGAAAGAAGGAAAATTAGTAAGTACAGAAGGTTGGGAAGGGGAAATCAAAAGTCCCCAGATCCCATTGCACTCTAGAAATGACCATTCTCAACCCTTCCTTGCAAATTTCTCCAGAAATTTCCTATGCACGTACAGTGCATACATATGCATGGGAAAATAAAGGTCTTTTTTCTTAGTCTTCTCAAAGGGAATATTATTATTCATTTTCTTCTATAACCTACATTTTTCTTCAATTTTCAATAGAAGCATTATGTGACTGCTTTCTTGAATCAAAAACAACAACCTTGCATCATTTATTTAAAGCATCTGATGTGTAGTCACGCTCAGTTGTTTCAAAGGAGAAATGAGTCTCTCTTCCAATTCTCATTCCTCAGCCCCCAGAGGCTCTCATATCCTGGAGTATTAGAGAATTTGTTGTACTCCTGACAGACAGACATTTTTAAAATGAGTCCTCTGCAGAGATGAGGAAGATTGGCCCCGAGACTGCCTGAGCCGTAATTCAGGGAGAATGGAAGAGAACAAAAGAGACCGTGGTGGTCCGTAGACTATGGCACGGGGACTTGGGAGGGTGTTGACTGATGAGAGCCACGAAAGAGGAGCAGAGGCAGGAGAATGGGCTGCCGGGGTATGGAGGGTGCAGAAAGGACCCCTGACTGCAGGGCGCCCTGGGTAGGCACCTCCTGTGCATGCACTGCCCGCCCGGGGGATGCTACTCTGCTGCGCTCCCAGGAGCTGCTGCCCTGGGTCAGCCAGAATGGCCCGGAATCTGGGTGAGGGCGAGTTAGAGTCAATGCAAGAAAGGCAGTCCTGCTGTCTGCTGGAAAATGTTCCCAGGGGCAACCTACATCCCTGACAACCCGAGGGACTGGCGCCCCCTGGGGATGGGATTGCGAACCTGCGCAACCGGAAGCTTTTATCCAAGGTGCCTGCACACACCTGTTCCTTTAAAAAGACATTCCCTTGGAATCCCATCTTTTGCTACTAATAGAATGTGAATTGAATGCTTCCCAAGGAAGCTGGTGTTTCACTGCATGGGGACAGTGACATGGCAGACTTGGACTTTGGGGAGCTCCCCACCTCCTTGGCCTGCCTTCTCCTTCCCATTGCATGGCCCACCCAGGTGCCCTGCTCTCCTTCTCCTGCCTGGTGTGTCTACCCACTCCTCCCTCGTCCTAAGGCTCCCTTTTTCCTGAGGTGTGAGAGCTTTTCCCATTCATGGTACTTGCCATCCTGGTGAAGTGTTAGAGGGGTCTTTCTCTTTTCCCCTCCCTACCTTCATCTCTGTCCTGTTACCCTAGCCTCCCTGTTTTAAATTGAGATTCCCCCAACTAATGGCCTCACTCCTGCTTTGTCCTTCAGTCCAAGACTTCATCCAACACTGTCCTTGCTCACCTTGTCCTGTGTCCTTGACACCATAGGCAGCCCGCCAGTTGGTCCTCTCTTCAGCACCCAAGCAGCCTGCACTGGGGCTGCAAAGCCTGTGTATTGCTGAAGTTCAGGGGTCCCCTGAATACCTTCAGGGAATAGTTTTTAGGGGGTGCAGGTAGGAGAGAGGTGATACAACCTTGTGATCATTAAGAGTGCGGGATAGAGACGGCTGGCTGGGGTCAAGTTTAGCTCTGTCTCTAGTTGCATTATTGGGCAATCCAGGTAGCTTCTCTAAGACTTGGTTCCCCTTCTGCATACTGTTTTTCTTATAGCATCACCAGAATTAAGTGGGAAAATGCTCATAAATACTTGGCATGGAAAAAATGCCCAACAAATTATAGTCACTCTGATCTGGCATGGAGCAGCCTGTTTCATCTGTAGAGCAGAGTTTGAGGATCAGGGTCTTCAAAGCCACAGCTTCTGGGTCATGGCCAAGCTCTGCCAGTGGATGACCTTGGGCAAGTCAGCTGACATCTCCTTGCCTCAGTTTCCTCATCTGTAAAAGTAGGGATTGGACACGTGACAGGATTATAAGGACCCATTAGGTTCTGAGTTTTCAATTCTGAGAATGTTTCAGTGAAATTGACAAAGGTGCTTTTAAGTAAGTTGGAAATTATAATTTGGAGCTTACTTGTTATAGTAATTAGTATTATATTATAACATAATCATATTCTTGTTTTTATATAATTTGTTGTAAATTATGTATTTAAGTTTTTATGTATATTCCACATCTGGGACAATGAGACAGAAAGGGACTTTCAATAAGGTGATATTGTGAAGCTGTGAACTCGGCTGCTGGCTCCAGGAGCACAGTCGGTGCCAGCTCTTAGGATGAAGCAAGGGATGGAAGAAGTCAGCTCTGGGTGGTCAGTAGCAAGAGTGTAGGTAACTCATAGGTTGCTTTGGGGACCAAAATGGAGGCCTAGGGGAGACCCCACCTCTGCACAGTGGCTGGACAGGTGCCTCTGGGCACTACCTCCCGCCTTTTTCTCTGGCCTCGGCTGAACACCAGTCCCTTTCCTTACTTTCTCTTCCTTCTTCCCCAGACATTCAATGAGTTTGAGATCGAGCAGCACCAGGAATGTGCCTATGACCACTTGGAGATGTACGATGGGCCCGACACCCTGGCCCCCCTCCTTGGCCGGTTCTGCGGCAGCAAAAAGCCAGACCCTGTGGTGGCTTCGGGAAGCAGCCTGTTTCTCAGGTTTTATTCAGATGCCTCCGTGCAGAGGAAAGGCTTCCAGGCAGCATACAGCACAGGTATGGGGCCTCAGGCGATAAGCACTTTGGCTGGAGGAGAGTGGGGACAAAGACAGGGAAGGACTGTCTTGTGTCTCTTTGGGGGAAGGGGAGGGGAGGGCGGCTGTGATAAAATGTCCCTGTTAAAAGGAAACATTGGCCACCACAGGCAGAGGGTGGTTTTCTATTTATGTTAATTAACTGACAAAATTTGACAGGGAAAGCGTTTCTTTCCTTCCTTCCTTCCTCCCTTTGAACAATGTATTTGTGATTTTTTTTTTTTCTGGTCTGCAGAACCCAAGTCTGGGAGCTGGCTGGTGAGAGCAGCCCTCTTTATCTCTGAGGACTGATTCAGGAAAATGAAACATGTTTCTGCTCCCCATTATTTTTTCCTCAAGATATCAGTAGTTATATTGGGTCCTGGGAAAATGTATATGCTAGTGACTTGTTTACTTTGCTAGGTAGAAAAAGGTCAGTAAGTCAACTGGCTCTGCTCTTTAGCCATTGCTCTGTTAGCTGTCACCTGGGACCAGCACTCTGGGGGCAGTGTTGGCTCTTTGATCCTGGCTTAGATTGTGGCAGAGCCCAGGGCTACCTGAAACTGCTCAGCCACCTGAGTGTGATGCTGAGTCTGAGGTCATGATCATGGGACCCTGTGACCCCTTTTTTCAGAGGTAGAAAACAGGAATCAAGTCAAGTCAAATGGCAGCCAGCGTCCCCAGGCAGCCTCACTTGCCCCCGCCTAGCCCAAAACACTGGGTGGTTTGTGAGACTCTCTTCAGCACCTTGAGGATTTCTGGCTTCCCCCACCGAAGTTGAAAGGCCACTGACTAGTGACATTACCCTCTTGTCCCTGTAGATGGAAATTGGAATGTGGGTGTTCAAGGAGGGTTAGGAACCCAGCAGGAAATGGAGACACACTCAGAGTTGTTATTTGTGAAGAACTTAATAAAAAGACTGTTTACAAAGCATGGGCAAGGTGTGGGGACACTGCAAGGGACAGGGCAGTCACTAGGACTACAGACCCACAAAACTTCTATCACTCCAGGCACAGAGGCCCTGCAGCCCAGCAGTGACTTACAGGAGGAGCAGGCAGAGAGGAGCCTGGATGTAGTACCTGACTTCTCTCCCTGCTCCCTCTGACTTTCCCATACTCTCCGTGGCTGGACAGAGCTGGAAGTGAGAGAGCAGTAAAGGGGCCTGTGCAGGTAGACTAGAGTCAGCCCCTAGGGCCCTAGAACAGGCAGGAAGGAGGCCTCCTGCCTTGCTCTGTGCTCATGTCATTGCTGTCTGCATCTCAGGAATTTGAAATTTCCCAGACTCTGAAGAAATTGTAGGCAGAGCATGGCAGTAAGAGCTGGTAGTCAGAGTGGGGCCCAGGTTGGGGTGCAACTCCAGCTGGGCCTGGGCATTCAGAACAGAATGGCCGGAATCCACACCAGGGGAGCTGCGGCACATGGGAGGTGCAGCAGTTTGAGGGGCAGGGTGGAGGAATTTGCCTCCAGGTGCTTCTGATCTAGCCCCATCTGGTCTCATTTACCCATTTTATTTTAGTAGCCTAGATACAAGATGGTACAGGCCCAGGGCATCCTGGGCTTCTGTCCTAGTAAAACACAGAAGCCAAGGCTATGGAATCCAAGCCCAAAGCTGAGGTGTGGCTGTGACACCGGCGTCAAACCTCTCAAATGCAAGAGCGAGTCCAGTAGATTGAGGTCTCTGGGTTTGGGCACTCAGCTGCAGTTCTGATGTGCCTTTATCGCCCTCTGTTGGCAGAAATGAAAAGTGACAGTAAGTCTAGGGGGCTGCTGAGCCCATGTTGAGCTGCTGGCACTTCCAGGACTTGAAATCAGATCCCACATCCTAGCGACCAGTGGGGCACACAGTTCATCTACCCCCTGTCTTCTTAAGTTTGGGGAGAAAAACAACAGCCAGCTTTTCAGCACCATGCTCTAGGATTCCCAGAGGCCTTATGTGGCCCAGCATGGGAACATGGAACCTTGTTTTGTGAGGGCCAGTTTGGCCCCTCAGGGGTCCCTGACCTTGGAGTCCTGGGCCTCTGTTGACTCCTCTGTGATGCACCAGGCACGGGGGTTCTGGGTGCCGAGGCAATATCTCATTCTCTCTGCTGCAGAGTGTGGGGGCAGGCTGAAGGCCGAAGTGCAGACCAAAGAGCTGTATTCCCATGCCCAGTTTGGGGACAACAACTACCCAAGCCAGGTCCACTGTGACTGGGTGATAGTGGCAGAGGACGGCTACGGCGTGGAGCTGATATTCCGGACCTTTGAGGTGGAGGAGGAGGCCGACTGTGGCTATGACTACATGGAGGCCTACGACGGCTATGACAGCTCAGCACCCAGGCTCGGCCGCTTCTGTGGCTCAGGGGTGAGTCCCGGGTGTCAGTACCATGGGCGAAAACCAGGGATTCGGAGCATGAGTGAAACAGGCCTGGGTTTGAGACCTAACTGTCCCTAATGACTTCTAGCAACAGTCAGGAGGCCCATATTTCCTGCAGGGGAGGGGGAAACAGGAGGCTCCTGGGAGAGGAGGTTGGGAGGGAGCCAGGAACCAGTTCATGAAGGCTTTGGACTGAGGTCAGTCCAAGGAAGAGCACTGGGCTTTTTAGGCCCCATTTTTACAAAGGATCCTCTCTCCCATTTTTATTTGGCTTTCAAGATTTTCTTACTATTTAATTATGATTCTGTGTATTCCCTATACTCATAATTCTCTCCCCCAAGCAAAACCAAATGCTTATGAAATCACTGTTACTATAAACAATACTTATACTCAAAGTCATTGTCACTTTTCTCATGATTGTCTCTTTCCTGGGCCACCAACCCAGGACCAGGACAGGCCTGTTTTGTTTATTCTTTTCCCAGCATGGGGCTCAGGGCTTGGCTGTGTACTGTGCTCAGTGATGTAGTGAGCCAACCAGTACAATGCCCTGGTGGCTCCCTGGCCCTGCCACACCGCACACTGTGCACACTGGGCTCCAGCCCTTTTCTCTGCCTCCAGAGCTCATCACTCAATCTTCTTTGCTATTGGCTGGACTTATGTCAAAGCCTTTGGAATCACGGGAGCTCCTTGTACACAGAAAACTGATATAGTATTTACGCCTTTCAATAATTTCCCTCCATCTACCTTCACCCTACAAAAAAGAAAGAATGGATGTACTGCCTGGGATACAGTCCTTCCGACTGTGGAGAGGAGCCTTGGCGGGTCCCGAGCACAGTGCTCTGTGGGAAGCCCCATTTGGCTCTACTAGGACCTGGCAGGTGGCAGTCTTGGAACTTGCCAGAACCTTTCTGACAGGTGTAGTCAGCTCCAGTGCACATTTTGTCCTTGGACAGGACATAACCTAAAGATTAGTCCTTGGTTTTGGTCCCCTGGGAAACACAGGGGTGAAATGACAGACCTGGGTGAGGCGTGGCACGTAATTCACAGTCAGAAAGAGCTGAGCTCAGGTCCTACCCACCTGTATGCACTTGAGTGTTGGTTTCCTCAGTGTGAATGGAGGGAGTACCTGCCTCATAAAGTTCTTGCAAGTGTCCATGAGGTCAGATCTGGAAGTGCTGGGCACAGTGCCTGGCCCACCCGTGCACCTCATAAACCACAGGTTCTCTGTGATTTGTGGGTCTAGGAGCGTGTTTGGAAAAGCAGGGCTCAGGGAACTTTCTGGAGAATTTGCAGTGCTTTCCTTTGGAAAGGATCTCATTTGGATGCCCTCTGTCTGCAGTGCCAGGGACACCTCGTGGCTGCATTGGCCATCCAGTGTCCTTGGGTGTGGTCCTGTCCCATCCTCGTTTAAACTCCAGTCACAGCCAACTGACCTCAGGTCCCCTGGTTTCCCTTTCTCCTTTTCTTAGCCACTGGAAGAGATCTACTCTGCAGGGGATTCCCTGATGATTCGCTTCCACACGGATGACACTATCAACAAGAAAGGCTTTCATGCTCGATATACCAGCACCAAGTTCCAGGATGCCCTGCACATGAAGAAATAACGCCCACGTCCTCGAAAGATAGGAACTGAGAATGTTCTTACAACAGCAGCACCTGGCAAATCAGCCCTGAAACAGTGTACAGGATTTTTTTCAAGTAAAAACTCAAAATCCAGTCTTGAAGGTCTATATTTGGATGAAGCCCCACATGCATGTTTGGCCAAGGAGGAGAGATGTCCCTCTGGTTCCAGTGACAGTGTTGTCAGTGGTGGGCCTCTGGAGATTACGGCCTGAAGTCCACTCAAGCTGTGCTTCTTCCTGCTCGCTCTCCTTCCTTTGTTCCTGGGGGGCCAGAGGCCAGCTCTGGAGTTGGTCAGTCCTCTTCCTCCTGCTTCCATAGGTGCCAGGAAATGTGACCAAATCCTGGAGACGCAGGTTACACTGAGCAGTGAGAATAAAAGCTTGGCCGACTTGTTACAGCTTTGGCTGGAAACTTTCGCCTTTTCTCCTCCAGGGACATGTCAACCAGGAAACCTGAAAAGGTAGACATCCAGGGAAAAGAGACATCACAGCAAGCAGCACACACAAGAGCTCTGAGCACCAGCATTATCATCGCTAAGGTGGAAGACCTCAGGCATGGCCCTCCCTGCCCTCTCTAGGCTTCTCCATCCCTCATTGCACTAAGGGACCATAGCATCCACTAAACTCCAGCAGAACATTTGCTGTGGAGAATTCTTAGTTTGCCAAGAATAAAACATCCTGGCTCATTCTGTTAGTCCCTCGATCACTGACTTGAGGATCCCCATCTGTGCTTGGGGGAGGTCCCTGGGCCTGGAAGACCCTCCAGCGATGGAAACATGCGCTGCTGTGAACCTTGACTCCCTGACAGCGGGTTCAAACTGCACCTGCAAGACGTGCAAAGACATCTCAGGAGGGGCCCGTTCAGGTCCCTCTCGGGTGAACACTGTGGAAAACTGGTTCATTCTGTTATGTAGGAATCATCACCTGGTGGAACAAGTCCACTTGTGACCAATCTCCTGTAATCAGACAGGTTCAAGAGTGTGCTGGTGACTTTTCTCAGATTAACTAGCATCCGATCAATGGAACGCTAGCATTCGGTCAACTTGCAATCAGGATTCACAACATGCGGCACTTGTTCTAGGGAAGTATGGGGGATGATGTTTACATAATTTTAGCACCTCAAGGTATAATTTAAACAGTGATGTAGTTTTGAATGGCATTTCATTAAGGCATCTATGGGCATTATGAGCTAAAAGCTGTGGTATGTTAGCTTTAAAAGAGTATTTATGTTGGAATAATTTAAAAATAATGTTTACATGACAGTAAGTCCTGTTTGGCTGGTGTGTTGAAAACAGGGCGGCCCCTGAGAGTACTTCCACTCAGAGCCAAGACGCTCCCCAGCCCTGGAATTCCTTTGGGATCAATCATCGTGTTGAACACAGTATTTGTAAAAGGCTAGAGGTTCTATTTTTAAAAGATCAGAATATGCCACCAGAAGATGATGTTCCATTAAATGATGGCTGGGAGTAAAAACTCAAATAATACAAAGAAGAGTAAAAGAAGTGCAGGGGAATACTTTTTTTCCCTTAAAACAGAAAGAAATCAAATTAATAATAATAATAATAATATATGTCTGTATATATGTAAGTATGTAAAGGATCAGCTGTCAAAGCCTTAATCAATGCAGTGTGAAGAATGCCCACCCACTAGTGGAGCTTTGTTGTACAGGCCCCGGTGCTGGCCATATGTGTTTTGCTGTCACCAAGCTCTCCTCTGGCTTTCCTTGGCCCTGGACTGAGTTTCAGCCTCCATTCTCACATCTTGGTAGATGGCAGACCCTGCCCAGGATGAACTTTGAGGTGACCAATGGAGTCCCTATTCTCACGGTTCAGACCCCTCCTGCCTGTTCTGGTGGGTTCTGCTGCTCAGATCTATGGATCTTCTGAGGTTGATTTTGTCCCATTTTGTCTGTCAATGTTGAAACTGAAATCAGAATGCATAAGGAGGACGCTAAGGGTCTCTCTCCAAGGAGATGAGAATTCTGCATTTTTAACCTTGAGAAGTTTTAAGTAAGATGAAGAGATTCCACGGAGATGTGGGAGGGAGGGAGAAACAGGGCTGGTTTCAGCATTGGGTACCCTGGTGACACACTGATGATTCATTGCTTTAGTGTGAATGTTTCCAAAAATACACGACTCCAACCACTGTCACCATGTGGCCAATTCACAACAATGGGGCCCTTATGAAAACCTTTATTTAGGCCTGTGAGTGACGTAGACCCAGAAGACAAGCTCTAATTCAGCTGGGGCTGGACAGGCCCTCCTCTGGAAGCCTGAACCCTTGGGGATCTACGCAGGACACAGTCCTGCAAAGAGCTTCAAGGCTGACTTCGCAAGGTAAAGTCCATTAGGCAGAAAGACCCAGGCCCCTGCACGGGCTCTTCCAATTGCTCAGCAACCTGCCTGCAGATGTCTCTGGAAGTGGACGGAGGAGCCAGAGGATGACCCTTCATCTTGCTTTGTCCTTTAACTGGGTGCCATGCCTTGGGTGTCACAGAGCTTCAAGACTAGAGAATTAACTTCAAACGAAGTTACCTGGTGGAGTTTGGGATCTGGGTCTCCAGCCTGGTCTAATTTTAGTGTAATCAGAGCTCACAGAAGCCAGGGCCTGCAGCCGAGAGCAGGAGAAGGGTCTCGATTTAACATTAGGCAGTAGAATTTCTTCAAACAGAGGAGGCAAGGCTGTGTACTGATTCACTATTTTCTCTATTTTCCTCTAAAGTTTCCATTTCTATTTTACTACTTCCCTCAAAAGTGTCATAGAATCCACAAATGGCTCAGCCTGTTTAAATTATTTGTTAAATATGGGCTAACTGGCAGATTCACATAGGAATTTACCATCCACCTGATCTGTTTGATAATTCTTGGTATTGTTAGTACTCAGTTTGGGAACAAACGTTTCCTCGGCTTCGGCAGATGTTTTCAAGTTTTTTCTTTATAGATTGAACTTCTGAAAAATAATCCCAGATGCCTAAAAGGTTTCTTTAAAACAAAAAATTAAAGCGTTATCTATAAATGTATGGGTATTTTTTATTTTGAGTAACTTTACATTTCAGGAAATGATGTCAAGGAGAATGTGTGTGTGGAGGGGGGAGCTAACATACATCTGTTTAGAAAGGATGCCTCATTAAACGATGTGGATTTATTGGTGTGTCCCAGGTGTGTGTTACTAGTTCAGACAGAATGGGTTCTCTTCATGATCATTTTCTCCACAACCACCAGCACTCGGGCAGGGTGTGGCAGGGGGCTTTCTCTAGAGCCTTCTATCCCCTGGTGAGTGTCAAGCACATAGCCCAGAACACAGTTCCCTACTGGACTCAGAAAAGCACAAGCAAAGCAAAGCAGGCAGCTCTCACACTTGCCCCTTAGCCTTGCACATCCCCAGCCTGGCCAGAGGGTATTGGGCCTGAAACTTCAGTTCTTCAGCACAGGTTTGAATCTGCATGTGATAGAAGCATAATTGGCGCCAGTTGCACTGATTCAAATGGTGTAGTCATTGGAAACATCCCCACTTTACAGATTAAGAGACTGAGGCTGCCAACTGCCTACGAGCAGACAGCCACCAGCCAGTAGGGTCTCCATGGCCTTAAATGCAGGTCCTACTGTATTCTCTGTCTTGCGGGTACCATCAGATTCAGCTTAGATGGTCACTTTGGTCCTGGGAACTGGAAGGACCCTGAGGCAGAGACCACATTGCTCTTGTTCAATACTGTGTCCCATGCCTGGCCCCTCAGAGGTGACTGAGCCCTGACTGTTCATTGTGTCCCCTGAGGATGCCCTTATTTCATTCTGGGCATTTCAATTAGTCTCTGAAGTCGGACCCAGGCACCAGGGTTTTTATAAGCCTCCCAGGTGATTCAGGTGTGTAACCAGGATGGAAAACCCACCTAGTTCCAAGATAACCTGGCCCCCTCCATCATGCCACTAATCGTCCTCCTCAGAGTCACTAGCAGCCACCAACTGAGAAGCAGATGGCTGCTCCAACCTTTCCTAGGCAGCGACTGGTACAGTCAGCTGCCACCCCCTCTTCTTGAAACAGGCATTTTCTGTGACCCCAGACCTCGGATTTTCCTCTCATGCAGCCTTTCTTGCTGACTATGCCTCCTCTACCAGGCCCCTAAAATGTCCGCAGCCCTGGGTCTCTATTCTGGTCCTCTGCTCTGCCCACCTGCAGCTTTAAACCCATCCACAGGCCGCCACCAAATGGACATCTTCGGTCCCAGACCCCCTTTATCTCATTGCCCAGTCAGCACCTCCACCTGGCTGCCTCAGAACTATTAAGGTTATAGCACCCGATGTGGAGCTTGGGTTCCCCCATCCAAATCTGCTTTCCCAGTAGCACGACTGACCCTAAGCAAACTGTGCCTCGAGCCCCATCAGTCAAGCCCCAAGCCCGGGAGCTGGCTTTGTTCTGCCCTTTCCCTCACATTCTCTCCTCCCCTGCCTCAGATTTCCCCATCATCAGCTCTCGCTGCCTTAACCTCCAAAACAGCTCACAAGCCCATTCCAGCCAGTCTCCTGCTTCCACTCTTGTCCCTGTGATCCATGCTCCAAGGAGAAGCCAGGGTGAGCTTTGTTGGTATCACTGGGTTCATGCGCTCACATGAAACCCTCAAAAAGCTTCCTGCTGCCCTCAGAATAAAAATCCCCCCCGCACCCCGCCATGTCTAGTCCTCGGGCCTCAGGCTCACTCATTTGCCCTTACCCTCTTTCCAGGGTGCTCCGAGGTTTCTGTTGGCTGCGCTGGCCTACTTCCCCTTCCGTGACACATGGAGACCGTGGAGCTTTGCCTTTGCTGTGCCCCGTGCCTGGGGCTCCCCTCAGCCCTCACGTGTAGGCCTCTTCTCGTTTTCCATGTGCAACTTGAAGGTCATCTCCAGAGTTGTCTAAAGCTATGACCGCGGGTCACTTCACTTGCTCTCTCCTTACGCCCCTCTTTGCTCCTCACAGGGTGGTTTCCATTTAAGTGACCCGTTGGTTGACCATTGGTTGCAATTCTGGTTTTGTTGGCAACTCACTCACCATCTTAAGGAAGCAAATTCAGGGCTACTGAAAGCCACCTGAATCCACAGCTTCCTCAACTAGAGGGGGGTCCCACTGGGAAATGTGAGGACAGGAGGCCAAGAAGCCAAACTCACTGATGACTGAGTGTGTCCTTCACTGGCAGCCACAGGCCTGCCTCAGGGTGGCTCCAGCACCCACCCCGCAGGCGTCCTCAGCTCAAGCTGGTAGCACGGGACTCCCTCATGGCCAGGAACATGGTCCATGCAGATGCCTGTCAGCTGGGGACAGAGCGGCCAGCCTCAGCCCGTGTCACCCATTGTTTCTAAAGAGCTGGCAGCCGCAGGAGCCACCAAGCTCTCAGGCCAGCTGTGGTGTCTTTGCTGAGATTGAAGAAGCTGCCTGGATAGTAAGAAGAACAGAAAATACAGACAAAGAGGATGGAGGGCCCCGGCCATTGATAGTGGCCAGGGAACAGGAGCCCATCTTTCCCAAGGGACGGGCCCAGGGCTTGGCTACTCCCCTGCCCATAAATGGCGTGGCCCCGGCTCTCTTGGAACCACCTCGCCCTGCCTCCCCAGCACTCCCAGCTGGATGTTCCTACAGATGGGAGACCCGAGGCAGTAAGGCCAGTGTTTGGAGAAGATCCTGGGAGGCTATCGGCAATGGTGAGTGGGTGCTGGCCTCTTAGCCTAACCTTCCTTTCTCTCCATAAAAACTAATTCTCAGGCCTTAAGGTGCTGGTCTCCTAATTCAATCAACTATAACTGAACCCTCAGCACAATGAAGGGCTTGGGTTTTAATTATTTTCCTATCTATGGAATACTAATTATTCCCCAACATTCTTATCTAACAATAGCTGATCTCATCTTTAAGTTTGATATTTTTATTTATTTATTTTTATTTATTTCTTACAAGGATGGGGAGTGGATGTCTCAGCTCTGTTTCCTTCCTGGGGAAGCCAGGGGTCTCATCAATGATTTTATCTTTCTTGTTTGTTCTGTCCTCCCTCTGCTATGTTATCAGCAACATGTGTGTTCCTAAGTTCCATCTGAAGCTTCCCACCTTTCTTATTGATTTATGATAGGAATTTGGTTGAATCAAGTGAAGTTTGCTAAGTTGGGAGAGAAAACAGAAGAGGCCTTTGATTTCTTTATTGAAGAATTATGGAAACAACCTGGGTGTCTGTCAACAGATGAATGGCTGAAGAAACTGGTGTGTGTGCACGTGTGTGTGTGTGTGTGTGTGTGTGTGTGTCTAGAATGGAATATTATTCAGCCTTTAAGAAGGAGGAGATCTTTGGGTCAGCTTTAGCTCAAGCTGCTACTTCCTTACACGGGACTCTCCATCCATCTAAAAAGGAGGAGATCCTGCTATTGGCCACAACCAGATTGGCCCTGAACATTACACTAAAGGAAATAAGCCAGACACAAAAAAGAAAAACACCACATGATCTCACTTTTGTAGAATCTAAAAACAAGGATGGGGGATTATTCAGAGGAGTTAAATTTAGACTTAGAGTTAGGAAGACCTGTAGTCTAACCTGATCTATTGCCTACAAGCCGGCGACCTCCAGAAACCCATCTTGTCTCAATGTCCTCACCTGTGATGTAGGGATAACAGTACTCCCCTCGTGGGGAGGTTGTGAGAGCAGTGTCCAACACCAGCATACCCTCAATGCCTGTGAGTGATTGCCTCATCTTCCTCTCTTCCCCTCACAAGCAGCAAACTCCTAGTGAAGGACAGCATCCTCCTTTGGAATCCCCCTGTAGCTAGGATACACTGCTCAGCACAAGGCAAGAAGGGCTGGCACTTTGAATTTTGCAACTTCATACTTACAGTTCCATCTAATAAGAATTTCCCGAAGGGCTTCCCCACCCTAACTCTGCTGGCCAGGCCTAAAGGAACATGGCACCACAGGATCCCTCATGTACTACATGGAAGTACATGGAAGGAGCTGCCACAGACATTATATCCCTTATGTTTACACTGTGAAGTGGGCAGGGCAAGTTAACAGTATCCCATTTTGAGGATGGAAAAGCTGGGAGAATGAATTTGCTGCTAGGGAATAGAGGCCCAAGTGATGTATCCAAGATCATATAGCCATTAAGTGGCAGAGACAGGATTTGAACCCGATCAGGTGGCTCTGAGTCCAGAGTTGCCTCATCCCACTCAGCTGCAGCTCTAAAAGGCACTGCAGCATGTTTTTCTCTCCATGAGAGCACTGTTCTGTTTCTACAAAATGTGAATGTCTTTCTGAAATCGGCCAAAATCATCGTCATCCACATGTTGATAAACAACACATGCAAAAGCCTGCTTGTTGCTGTCTCCCCTCCTCTGTCCTCCCCGCAAAGGAAGCTTTGTCCTGGGCCTGCTGACTTCAGAGCCCAGCACCCACTGATGAGATCAGCTTGGGGCAGCTGCGTTCAATGCCTTGTAGCCAGCCCGTTTGGTGATAGCATGAAGAACAGTGGTTAGATCCCCAGAGCCAGAGATTCGTGACCTGAGGCCCAGGTGATCCCTTGCTTTAAGGGTGTCCCAGAAGAAGAGGTCTATAGTGCCTGCCGTTCATCTGCAGAAACCACAGGAGTTATCGGGAAGCTGTGTGGTGGAAGACCCTGGTTCTGGTAGCAGCTGATGAGTTGTGTAGACTCAGGCAACCCATTACATTCTTGAGCCTTGATTTCCTTCTCTGTAGCATGAAGGTCCCCTGTTGCTAAGAGACAGAGCAGTGGGCAGAGTGGCCACTGAAGCATTTGAGCTTTTTTTGTTTGTTTGTTTAACTATTTTTTTTTAGATATAGATGGACACAATACCTTTATTTATTTATTTATCTATCTATCCATTATTTATTTATTTATATGTGGTGCTGAGGATGGAGCCCAGTGCCTTAAACATGCTAGGCACTGAGCCACAACCCCAGCCTTGGATGAGACCATCTTAATTGAAGGACAATGTTGGAGGCTGAGCAAGAGAGAGTATATGTTGTGGGTGCTCAAAACACTTTTGATTCACGGAAGATGATTTTGATTCACATTCAGTAATTCATCTGAATTCCAACCCACCTATTAGCCAAAATGAGTTTTGCTGGGGGGACTATCTGCTCTAACCATCTCTCAGTTCAGATCACGGTCACATGGACCAAGCTCACTAGCCTGTTTTCAGAGTGAAGCTCTAACTGTTCTCATTTTTCTATAAGATAATTTCTAATGAGCCCCTGGGTCTCAGTCTCTTCTATAAAATGGGGTTATGAGATATAAAATGTCCTTTGAGGCACTTTGGGTCCAAAATATTAGGATCCTTTGGGATTCTTTAATATTTCACAATATTTCTATTTTTGGATAACATTTAATGTTAAAACTTAGCAAACGTGTTGTTCTTAGAATGAGAGAACCTATTCTTGGGGGACTACAGTAGATCAAGAACTGGAGCGCAGGCTGAGCCCTGGTGGACAGGGAGGCTGGGGCTGAAGGAGGCCCGGCCATGGGGTCGTTAATCAGATAGCAAGACTCAGGGGACGGAAATTCCAGAAAGTGAAACAAGGCCTCTGCAGCCCAGGACAACCAGGGCCAGAAAGTGTCATCTGTTGAGTCAGAGCAGGGTCCACCCATTGTCAGACAGGAAGGGACTTGGTAAAGAGCAGCCTGGAAGACACACCAATGAGCCCAAACTAAGTG